CTGTGTTGTCCACCTTGAAGAATAGACAATACATAACATCAGTACAGACACCAAATTTGGTTTATTTCCAGACACCAAGTAGGGTGACACCAAGTAGGGTTACCTTTGCAGCCTTTTACATGTAGGTACCTATATTTCTTTGTCTTTCTTCATTTACTGGCTTCCTCTTTAACAGAAAACAACACAAAGTTGAGTACTCCACATAACAAAGTAGAAAAAATCCTGCTCAACTGAGATTCGTATGTGTAGTAATACTACTACTAATAATGATAATTATCAGTCTTAGGGATGGGTGGACAGAAATAAAAATTATTTATAAGAGGATCTTTGATGCAAAGGCTTTTATAAGCTGGAAGGAAGATTTTGATGCTTTAGGCTGTCCTTTTCTGGACAGACAAGGAGATTTTGAGGCTGATTCATTAAAATGCACAGCCCTTCTTTTTTGCTGGTTAGCAAGCATTTAGCAGTTACAGCAGGCAGGAATGTCACCTCTTCTCACCTTTTGATCACCCCAGAATGTAGGGGTGTTTTTTTAAAGTGGAAGTTTTGCTGAGACTCCAACTAGCCTTGAGTCCTACAGCCATGGACAACATGTTCACTGAGCCAAATCAGGGGAGTTCAAATTGGTCATGACAAGCCTTGAAACTAAGGACTGTGTGAGAGGTAACAATGTTTTTTTAAGATAACTTTGTTTAACCACCAAAATTTAAAAAGCGATGCTAGGGCGATTCAGAGCCAATCTACACATAGGTTTCATAAACTAAACTGGAGAAGTATTATTTGCAAAATAGTACTGAGAGATACAAGCACTGGTGAGACCCATCTGGAGTCAAGTTATGGCCTCCCTAGTGCAACAGTGATATGGATATAGCTAGAGTGAGAAGAGTGAAGGGCCACAAAGTTGTTTATGAGACTGGAGCATCTCTCATATGAGTTGATGCTGAAAGAGCTGAGGCTGTTCAGCCAGAAGAAGAGAAGGCTTCGAGGAGTCTTTTCCATGTGTTCAAATACCTGAATAAAGCAGACAGAACCAGAGTCTTTCCAGTATCACCCCATGACAGAAGTCAATGGGCACAAATTGAAACACAGGAAATTCTGGTTAAACATTTATTTATTTTTTCCCCAGCAGGCTTCCGGGAGAAGTTGCAGTCTCTCCCTGCTCTAGTTGAACCTTCTTCCAGTGTGGGGGTAGGACCTATTGCATTAGGTGTTAGATTAGAAGGCAAGACACTTCTTTTTAGGAGATGCGATTTCCCTAACACTTAAATATCTGTCAGTATATTTTTGGTCGCTTAGGTGAAGTATGTATCTTAAAAGGATACAGGTTTCTTTACGACTGACAGCCTTTTGACATCTTAACTCTTCCATACTATATAAACCTTGCAATTGCTGAATCAGTATTGTCAAATTAATTGTATCATGACAGCAACTTGACTGTCTCCTTATGGTGTTTTTTATTATTAATATTGAGAATGATTAACTGAATGTCTGCAAAATCATTCTTTGTCAAGAAGATAGCATGCTTCAATTAAAACTTCATCATTTCTCTGGGTCTTCACCATGTTAGTAATAGTTAATGTAATTAAATGAGTGTAGGCCTTCAGCTAAACTTGGCTAATCAGCTTACCTAGATTGTTCTCTTTCTGCAGCCTGAATGTCTAATTTGCCTCTATTTGTCTAACAGCTAACCTGTTTCCCCTCCACATGGAGCTTCTGTCTTGATAAGAAAAAAAAAAATTAAAAAAATCAAATGTTTTCTATGCTATACAGTTTTAGGAATGACTTCCTAAGTTATATGTGAACTATTTTTGTTTTGAAGATCCTTGCACTGGAAAATAGAGTGGCATTTTGTAGGGTCGTCTGTAATCTGCACTAGCACCTGTACTGCTAGGCAAGGAAGGATGCCAGGGCATGTTATGTGATGATGAATGGACATGAGATTCTGTTTTGGGGAGGTAAGAGTTTGCCTTCTAAGGAGGGATCAGAAATTGGTTTGAGGTCCTGAGTAGGAGGTGAACGGAGCCTGCATTTGGACAGCGCACTTGAAAAGTAAAAACCCTAAAAGGAGAAGTTCCAATCTTTGCAGTTTGATTGAAATTTAGTATAAAAGAAGTCACATTTAAATATTTGTCTCTTCACCTGGGAAGTGCCAACAATTGTTATTACCAGCTCATGCTCAAAACTTGTTTTTCAAGTCATGCTGCTAGGCACAAAGAAAAATTCTCCAAATTTCTCCAACATGTTGAAAAAACATTCCATATTCTCCTACCAATTTTCTAAGTTATGTAGTGGAGGCTTGTTTTTCTCTTATCTGTTAAACGCCCAGGGCAATATCAATGCTATTTGTAAGGTAGATAGTAATTGATCTCTCTAAAAACTGAGAACTGTTATTTTGGTCCAATGTAGCATTTAGCAGCTATTTCCAGCAATGCAAAAGTGCGAATTGTTCAAAGCTTCTGACAAGTTTATTTTATCCAGTTAACTAGAAAATTTCATTACTGGGAGCAGGGCAGGGAAATAAACCTAGAAATGACTCTCCTTTTCACACTAGACTCATACCACTAAAGAAAGGGTTGGTATGAGCAAGAAAATTTTCACTGCTCAGAAGTAGGCCAGGTATAATGGTCTGTGCTGAAAAGAGCCAGCGTGATAGTTGAGGAACAGATACAATAAAGGGTGTAGATGGAACATAGTGTAGATGGAACATAGTTCTGGATGCCAGCTGCCAGATCTTCCAGTGTCTCAAACAACTAGGGAAGAGCAAAGAACTTCAGAAGTGTAGCTCAAAACAGAGCAGGGAACTATTTAAATGACATGCAGTTTTACATGGGTGCATCGAGAACTAAAAATGGGAGAAGTCCTAAATTCTGCTGCTTGAAATCCCCAGATAATGACCTTTTTCATCAGACCCACACAGATGACAAGCTTTCCTTCATCTGTGTTTTGTATCACTTACATTCAAATTCTGCTTTATGGCAGAATTCAAATAACCTGGAAAATGAGCATAATGCCTTCATCTTGCCAGTGATCAACTGCAATTTTGCCTCTCAGAAACATATTTCTGCTGATCATTTGATTTACCAGCCTGAGCTTAAAATTCTATGGCTATTGTGGATTTGGTTTAGTTGTTTATGTAGGAACAGCATCATGTTCTCAAGAAGTGAGACAGATTTCATAGCCCACTTCAGTACACTCTTCAGTCCCTACTGTGGGGTACTAGAGAACATAATTTTTCCTTTTCTTTGTTTTTTTCCATCTACTCCTTCTCTGCTTCAAAGTATTTATTAGCTGGCTTGCATGCAGATGCAACAAAATAAAAATAAATCTAGGAGAGAATATGAAACAGTGGTAGCTCATTGTTTTAACTTTTGTTGTTCTAATATATCATATTTTTATTTGCCATTTTAAACTATTACATTCCAACTAAAATTCCTTACTATTACGTATAACTTAAGTGTGTTTTCAACATTTAATATATGGAGGGGAAAAAAAAAGAAACAAAAAGCCAGGGCCTTCTTCGAGATACTATTTGTCTTCCAGAATCTCCAATTTATCCATGCTAGAAGAGACACTCCTCTGCTGAAATAGCCCACTAATATTTTTCATAACAAATTTTTATAAAGTACAATAGAGCAAAATATTAGGTTTGGGCTTAATTTGTTCAACAAAGGAAATAAAAAATCTGGCTTCTTTTTCATTAAAAGCCAATCGAGGCTATTGTCTTCTGATTAGGTAAAAAAATTGTTGAAGTCCTTAAAAAAATAAGTAATCTCTCTTACCACTTTCTGAGTCTTAAAAATTAAGTGGGATCGTAATAATTAAAGCTGATTCTTATTTATGAGGATTGTCTGAAAAATGTTTCAATATTCTGAAGATTTGCATGAAAACCTAAATTGCTGAGTGTTTTTCTTTTCCTTTAAAGAAGAGAATGGCAGGTTTTATAAAATCTCTTGGGGGAAAAAAAAAAAAAGAAAAAATTCTTATCAAATATTTATAGGTAATATTGAGGTTTAAGCTTTCTGCTCACATAGGCCAGATTTCCACATTATTCCATTTATTTGGGGTGAACAGTGGCTTCAGCTGTCTCCATTAATGTTTAAGTAGTTTAAGATCATATTAGTGTATATATAGCTGTTTGCTATTTTTCCCCTGCCAGTCTGCTTCTGGCTTCTGTAAATCTTAAAGAATAATAGTATAGAGTGATGTAAGCAAGAAAGCATTAAACTAGCAGTTTAACCGGAATTTATATTCATTAACTAAGCATGGGTATCTTACTTTTACAAATAGAGACAATTAGTGAAAATACCAAAATCTTGCTATTCACTTACAGAACACCAGAAAAAATGGAAGAGCCCTTGCAAGCTCCAGACACTTTTCAACAGTACATATATTCCTCTGAAGGTATCTTACTTTCCCAAAAGAGGAAATTCTGTAGAAATACGGTATCCTTAATAGTTAAAGATATGGTTAAGGGAGCCGAATCTTTATCCATATTCAACGCTCAGCCATGAAATTGTGTTACTTCCTTCTCTTTGAAATCAATTTACGGCAAAAATATTGAAGCTGCCCCCTCGGTTTCTGTCCTGATCTGGAGAAAACCCCCTAAAGAATAAGTCTGCAATACGGGGGAGACTTTTTGTCTACGGGGTTTATTATAATTTAGAAGGAAAACCAAAAGTTTGCCGTTCCCGGGGTCTCTCTGGCTTCACAACGCGGGGTTAAACACATCTTTTCTCTCTCATCTGGGGTCCCAAGAGCAAGAAATTTCCCCGAATGGAAGTCCACCCTCTTCTTTTCACCGCCCGAAGAAATTGGGGTGATTTCGTAGCACGCAGTTTACAAAAAATATGAATTTATAACTCCAAAGAAACACAGACTCGGCGGACTAAAAGCTCTTCCTGGCTAACAGTTAGGCGGGCTCTGCAAAGCACCAATCACAGATCACCGCTTCGCTATAAATTCAGGCATCGGGGTTACTGTAGCCCAATTACTTTCTTTTGATTAGGAAGAAGTCTCTGCAGCGATGTCGGAGACTGCTCCAGCCGCCGCTCCCGCTGTCGCTGCCCCAGCCGCTAAAGCGGCCGCCAAGAAGCCAAAGAAAGCGGCGGGCGGCTCCAAAGCCCGGAAGCCAACGGGCCCTAGCGTCACCGAGCTGATCACCAAGGCTGTGTCCGCCTCCAAGGAACGCAAGGGGCTCTCCCTCGCCGCGCTCAAGAAGGCGCTGGCCGCCGGCGGCTACGATGTGGAGAAGAACAACAGCCGCATCAAGTTGGGGCTCAAGAGCCTCGTCGGCAGAGGCACCCTGGTACAGACCAAGGGCACCGGTGCCTCCGGCTCTTTCCGCCTTAGCAGGAAGCCAGGAGAGGTGAAAGAAAAAGCCCCCAAAAAGAGGACGGCCGCAGCCAAGCCCAAGAAACCAGCTGCCAAGAAGCCTGCCGGCGCTGCCAAGAAGCCCAAGAAGGCTGCGGCAGTGAAGAAGAGCCCCAAGAAAGTGAAGAAGCCGGCCGCTACCGCGGCCAAGAAAGCAGCCAAAAGCCCCAAAAAGGCGACCAAGGCTGCCAAGCCCAAGAAGGCGGTGACAGCAGCGAAGAGTCCAGCCAAGGCGAAAGCGGTGAAGCCCAAAGCAGCTAAACCCAAGGCAGCCAAGGCGAAAGCAGCCAAGGCAAGGAAGGCGGCACCCAAGAAGTGAAGTGTGTTGGAAGTGGAAATACTGAAACCCAACGGCTCTTTTAAGAGCCACCCACTATTATCCCCAAGAGGGCTGATGCACTTCTTTATCGAGGTCCGTGCCTTCAGCAGAGGTAACCACACGCCACTATCCGTGTGGGACGTTCGTCTGTGGATTGGATGGGACGCTAAACTTCCGGCCGTGGTTACGCTAAGACTTGAAAAAATAAAATTTGTATTTCCTGCGATAACGTTTTCTAAAGGCTGACTTTTTTGAGCAGCGCAAGAGGGTTAAAGGGACTGCTTAGGGCGGGCGTCGCTCCGGGGCGTGGAGTTTTGTTTCGGCGATTTTAATCTGCGCTATTAGTAACAGCCTGGGCGGGACGGCCACACCTCTTAGCGGTCGTACCTGGGAACTGTCAGCGCAGCTCCTCCGCTTCCTTGGCAATGACCTATCCGCTCGGCAGCGTTGTGAATTTCTGCGTGACTTCTCCGACCTGCTTTTCGAGATGTAGACTGCCGGGGGGGGGGGGGGGCGCGGAGTGCGAATGGATCTATCAGCGGTCCTCTTCTGCACCCTACTGGCCTAGTGGTGGTGTAGTCGGAGCGGCAGGAGCTCTTTCTGGCTGCCATACTCAGCTGCTGCGGGCAGGGCGCTTTGCCGGCGGTGCTCCTGCAGTATCGTGGCTCCGCCTATGTCCGGTTCTGATTGGCTGATGGGAGAATCCGCTTTCGCTTATTGGGCAATTAGGTAATTCCGAAAAGCCCGCGCTAGCTTTGCTCTTGGCGTTATGAGCAAGTTTTCCAAGCGCACCTACCCCGTCTGAGAGGTATCCTCTCCTAGTCTTGTCTTTGTCTTCCAATCTACAGGGATGATTTCTGCCTTGTCCTGGACTATCGGTCTAGTGACAACTGCAAAAATGGCGCATTAATTTTTTTTATTTTTAGGGTGCCCGTATGTTAACATACCATCTGCAAGCTATGTGAAAGTCTTTTCCATTTATGGTGGAATGTAGAATGCATCACATCCTAAATCATTACTATACTGATTCATAACACCGCTTACATTTACTGGAAAACTTGAAAGTTAGCATTTATGTAGTAATCAATAATTTAACTTTATCCAAGGTTTTAAAACAATAATTGCAAGCTGTTATGACTGATTAAACAGACATTTCAACTTGAGTTTAACATTTTACAACCACGTTTTTATACCCAGGAAGCCTGAGACACTAACTGTGCTGAAGCTCTTTTTAGGAGTATGTAGGTGGCTCTTAAAAGAGCCTTTGGATTAAAAATGTTGGTCTGAGGCACTCTACTTGGAGCTAGTGTACTTGGTGACAGCCTTGGTGCCCTCGGAGACCGCATGCTTGGCTAGCTCACCCGGCAGCAGAAGCCGCACAGCCGTCTGGATCTCCCGAGAAGTGATAGTAGAACGCTTGTTGTAATGCGCTAAGCGAGAGGCTTCACCAGCAATGCGCTCAAAGATGTCGTTAACGAAGGAATTCATGATACCCATGGCCTTGGACGAGATGCCCGTGTCGGGATGCACCTGCTTCAGTACCTTGTACACGTAGATAGAATAACTCTCCTTGCGGCTCTTCTTTCGTTTCTTGTCACCTTTCTTTTGTGTTTTAGTCACCGCCTTCTTAGAACCTTTCTTGGGAGCAGGAGCTGACTTAACCGGCTCCGGCATTTTACCAGCACTATTACACCTAGTTAGAACCAGATGAAAACTATAAAATGGCCGCAGAGCCCTGTAATTATAGGGCCGTTATGCAAACACACGACCTCCAATTCGTTTAATTCGATTGGGTCTTCTCGAAAGGGGCGTATCCTTGTTGCTGATTGGTCAAAATATGATCCCTCTTCTCATTGGTTGTCTGAGCTATGTATGTTTCCAGCCAATCACCAAGCGCCAATTCCTCAATGGGAAGGAATAAAAAGGGAAGACCGGATAGTATTGGGCTAGGCTTGGTCGTTTGTTTATAGAGGGAGTTGTACGTAAGCTGTATAAGTGGTCGAAGGATGTCTGGTCGTGGGAAACAAGGGGGCAAAGTTAGAGCTAAGGCTAAATCGCGGTCCTCACGGGCTGGCTTGCAATTCCCCGTGGGTCGCGTCCACCGCCTGCTGCGCAAGGGCAATTATGCGGAGCGGGTCGGCGCTGGAGCACCTGTCTACATGGCGGCCGTATTGGAGTACTTGACGGCTGAGATCTTAGAGTTGGCGGGCAACGCCGCCCGCGACAACAAGAAAACGCGCATCATCCCGCGACACCTGCAGCTCGCTATCCGCAACGACGAGGAGCTCAATAAGCTGCTGGGCAAGGTGACGATAGCGCAGGGTGGTGTGTTGCCCAATATCCAGGCTGTACTGCTGCCCAAGAAGACTGAGAGTCATAAGGCTAAAAGCAAATAAATTCAAAAACTGAAGCTCCTCGGACTTCTTTAAATTTATCAATCCCAAAGGCTCTTTTCAGAGCCACCCACACGGTCAGAAAAGAGTTGCATTGCTTGCTTTATGAAAGACATTTGATGCTGTTTCCTTATGCAGAGTTTGTTAAGTAACACCATGTGCTGCGGCAAAGCCTTTAAACTTCGTTCTCTTGGGAGGGTGGTATATTTGCGTTCCAGCTCTTGATCCTTTTTAAAGAAAGAACAGTAATCAGACTTACTGAGGTTTTTTTTTTGGGGGGGGGGAGGTTGGGGTTTTTTTTTTGGTAGTAATTCGTTCTTAATGTTCAATGTGCTCAATTGTCATGATTTTATGGGCTACTTGTGTAAAACAGGACTAGGGTTGCTCAAAAGCTGTGGGGGGAGTATAGAAAGCTATGTAGTGTGAAAATACTGCTCCGAACTCACATAACTAGGAAAAATGAAGAAAGGCTTTCTTTGTTGGCTGTTCTTTTAAAGTGTAAAGCTTCCCTATGACTTGACTTAGGAATAAAATGAAAAATGCTTTAAGGGAAATAGCTCATTTTGATCTAGAACCTCAATTAGATGGACCTGCACTGTAAAGCAATAATGTTGCATCTGTCTATTCAGAGGAAACTTAATGCAATGCTGGTATATATCCTTTTTTAAGTAGAATTTTCAAATATGCTACTCTTTAATTGTATTGCTGTGCATAACTGTTTGTTGTATCAATTAATAGTAGGCAAAAGTATTTGAATTCATCTTTAGTGTTGGCTCATATATCACCCAAGAGCACAGTGTTAAAGCTCTTTAAATGCACTGCTCTAAATGATGAGAGACTTGTCTAGTTGATTCCTCTTACTAAGGTGTTCCCAGAAACTGCACCTGATGGTCCACAGCGCACTGCATTGAGGCCAGAACTCCCACCTGTGCAGCGCTTCTGCCCTCCTTATCCCCTGGGGTAATAGAGGAAAGAAAATGCCACGTACACAGCAAGATACCTATGCCTCTCCTCCCCACCCCTGAGCTGTAACAGGGAGGTTTTTTAAGTAGAACTGTATCATGATCAGAGCAGGACATCATGGATAATTTGTGGAGAGAAGCATAGAGGAGAGCTGTCTGGAGCATCCCACTATCCTGGTATGGTGATGGTATCTTGCCTAAGGATTTGTTTCTGAGTAGGTATCCTTAGAGCCATAATGTTTTCATTATGTTGTTGATCCCCATTAGCTGCAGCTACTTGTCACTCCTCTTCTTGAACAATTGCAATTGTATTAAGACAGTTTTAACATGCACAAGTCTTCTTAATGTCTTTTCCAGAACTGATTATATCACATGTGTTTCAGGTCATAGAATGGTTCATGTCAGAAGGGACCTTAAAGCTCATTCAGTTCCATCCCCCTGTTGCCATCAGGGACAGCTTCCACTAGACCAGGTTGCTCCAAGCCCTGTCCAGCCTGGCCTTGAACACTGCAATGGATGGGGCAGTCACAGCTTCTCTGGGCAATCTGTGCTAGTGCCTCACAACACTCATAAGTAAAATTTTTTTTCCTAATACCTAATTTAAATCTCTCCTCCTTTGGTTTAAAGCAATTCTCCCTTGTCCTGTCACTGCAGGCCTTGGTAAAAAGTCTCTCTCTGTTATCTCATATTGAAAGGCTGACATAAGGTTTCCCTAGAGCCTGCTTTTGCCCAGGGTGAACAACTGTAACTCTCTCAGTCTTTCTTCACAGGAGAGCTGTTCCAGCCCTCTAATAATTTCTGGGGCTCTCCTCTGGACCTCCTCTAACAGGGCCATGTGTTCCTTGTGCTAGGAGCCCAGAGCTGGATGCATTCCTCCAGGTGAGATGTCATGGGAGAAGAGTAGAAGGTGAGAAGATTCTCCCTTGACCTACTGTCCAGGGTACTTTTTATGCAGACCAAGATAAAATGGGCTTTCTGGGCCACAAGTGTGTATCTCTACATCAAAGCACTAGAATCCCAGAGAAAGACTGTGGGGTTATCTGTATCTAGGAATGCGATTTCTCTGTGAAAGATGTCAACGCGGGAGTCACAGACAATGCAGGAACGATCAATGTGATCAGCGAATGCCAATTTATTACAAAGCTTTAACTCCTTATATACCATTTCTTACAGGCACTTACAGTGATTTGGCATATTATGATCAGATACATGTCTTGAAGACCCTTAGGGACTAACACATAACTGGTTAAGCACAGGTGTGAGAACTTGACCTGGAAAGCTTGCCAGCAGTCCACAGTTCTCATTAACTCAGTGAATTACAGATGCTTCTTATCTTGCTTGCTTAAGCTTCCTTGGGCCTCTCACAGCCTTGCTGTATCTTTCAGGATTATTCAGAGTTTATGTACCAATTATCCATTCTCCCGTGAGAACACTGTCTCCACAGTGAAAGAAAACTCCTCTACATGGAAATCAGAATTGGTACCACAGGAGAGGGCATTACCCTTCTCTGAGTGTGGAAGTAAGTCCAGAACTTCTCCAAATTCTTCTTGTCATCTGACCACAAAGATGTCATTTCATTCAGAATATTATTCCAAACATCTCTCATTTTACTATTTTCCCTGCTCACCTCAGTAACTGGAGTTTCACCTTCTCTGATATTTAAGTCCACTTCTTAGCATTCTTTTTCTTCTTAACTAGTTGTGGTTTCACCAGTTGTGAACCGTGTGCTGCCATCTCAGTGGTGAAACCTCAAAGGGAAATGTTCTATAAGTCAGATGGATTACATGATAGCAGTGCTGGCAAACCTACTTGTGTTAGAGACTTGCAGTTTTCAACAAATCCTACTAGATGGAGAAATGTAGCAAAGCAAGTTTAAATAAACAAGCTTCATCTCATTTGCATATATAACAAACAGTAATAAAGAGGAAATCCATACCATAAGATGCCTTAGCTATATCACTGGGTTCCAATACACCTCCACATTCTGACACACTTGTGATAAGAAAAAAATTCTAACCATGCACCTTCAAATATTTTGGATCACAGTTACATTTAGGGATCTTAGAAGCTTAAAATGGTTTGGGTTGGAAGGGACCTTAAACATCATCTAGTAACTCAATAATGTCAGTCAAGGCATCAAAAGTCTTCTTAATACATAGTTAAAAAGACAAAAGGCTTTTCTATCACTTTTCAACTTCACTTTGTTTTCAATGTTTTGGATAATGTACTCTATTAAAAAGAACTTGCAAGACTCTAGCTTGCATATTATTATTATTATGTAACTGGTACAGATATGGATTTAATTGCCATGTAAGCCCCCATGAAAATTAAAAGCAACTTTGCAGTTGTACATAATACACTGATGTGATGGTTTATTTACTAATTATGTACTTTCTTGTGCAGTCATGGCTAGATATTGCCTTACTGCAACAATCAAGTGCAATCTCATCATTATAGTTTAATGAGAAACTAGGGCAATTGTTCTAATTAAAGTTTATTTTAAAAGCTACAGTATTGCAAAGGTTTCTTTTCTCATTTAACTCAGTACTATGTGTCCAAACTCATGGGGAAACTGCAGTACTTATAGTCTGGGGATTGGATGCCTAACTTTGATTCAAGTAATAATTATTGTCTCCAATGAACAGTAAAAGCAAATTCATTAGGGGTTATACTCAACAGCAAAATTTTCTTTCTGCTTTAACTGTTTTTGTCTAAGAAAACCCCCTGGTCCACGAGAGAACTGACTGTATTACTAACAGAAACACATAGGAAACAGGTCTGTGGCCACATGTAGCAACTACAGGCAAGGCAGCCTTCTAGAAATCATGATATTAAATTATATCAAATGTCCCACACACTCTGGGGAAAGGGGGTTGCAGCTAATAAGTCTGTCAGCTCCTGCTTATGGTATCTGCATCACCCATTTCTGCCAGGAGATTTTGGAAGATAAATGTTCAAGTCTTCCGGTGGTTTTACTGCTGGAGGGAAAAGTTATACTAGGACACTCAACCTGCATTTAGGAAGAGATATGAAGAAATTATTATTTTAAAACACTCAAAGATTTTGTGTAATACCTTCAGGCTTTCTTTAGTATTCAGAAGGTGAATTGTGCCTCAGGAAACACATCTTGACACAGCTCTTCAGGTATAAAGAACAAAGCAAACTTTGTGGAGCCAAATGTTAATGTTAAACACCAGCCTGGCAGGTCCACTAGTGATAAGTCTTTTAGTTATTTATAGAGAGTTTTAATTCATTCAGCACAGTCAAAAAGCATAGTCTAAATCCAAGCTAGATTTGCCTGCTCATATTTTGTATGTTTGATTGGCAGGTCTTTATTTAAAATAATGGTTTGAATGAAAATGGGATTCACAATGATAGTTATAATTACCATAAACACCTGTACTTTTTTTGGACACATGTAACAATATATGAATATCTCAATCACATTTTCCCCTGAAGCTAGGGAATATAATCTGTCAACAAATATTCTGAAAATGTTGCTTAAGTTCTGTAAATTATATGCAGCAATGAAACTATATAAAAAACTATAAAAATTTAAAATTCTATCCATAACCTTTAAAAGGCAGGCATGTTTGAAGTGCTCAAAATATTAATAATCTAAGAAATGGCAAGTATATAGCCATATAATTTCTATTCTGTACAAATAAAAATCGTAACAGTTTTATTTTAAAAACGTAGTCTCGAAACTCAATATTTATTCACTTTCCAAATATAGTCCAAACTACTGTAAGCAGCACATATGCAAGGTTCGTTAGAAAACGTGTGAAATACACAGAAAAAAAAAATCTGTATTCCTCTTTGGAATAACACACATTTAGTTATTGATCATTTATCAGACGTCATGGAGACGTCTAGTTGGTAGCGTCGGTAATGTATTTTTTCTCTTGCTGGATCCATCTGCGCCCTCGCCACCACTTCTCTATCTCGACCCCGGCAGCTGTTGGGCAGGAGCCTCTCTGCCAGTACTGCCCGTTGACCCACTCGGGGTTGAAGTTGTCTGAAAGGGGAACGGCTCATGGTTCCTCCTCCGCTCCCGAGTAGCAGCTCAAGTTGCCTTCACAGGAACCCCACCAGAGCCCCTCACCGATTATTCCTCCCCCCCTCCCCCGGCCCAAGTCCTCACTCCCTGCTCCCCCTCGCACAGACCTGCAGGTCGTTCCGTGCGAACGTGAAAGCGCTGAACGCTCGGAGCCCAGCCCGCTGGGCTGCACGGAAGAGGGGGAAGCTGCTGAGAGAGAAGCGACGGGTAGACAAAGAAAACACGAAGACTCAATGCCCCCAACGAACAAAGAAAGCGGGACACAAAACTAGTCCATCCGCGGGATCCCCACAGGCGGAAACGGCCATCAGCTCTGCCAGGAGGGGCGGTAGCTCCAAGCGAGGACGCGGATTGGTAAGATTTTGTCGCAGACAGCGGAAAGGGTCTGAATGGAGAAGGGGCGCCGTAGTCCGAAACTCTCGGGCGCCCTACTGGAAGACGTCCTGAGCTGCAAGGGGGCCGCTTGGCGGTGGAGGGCGGGAAATGGGGGCGGAGGCAACAAATAAAGAACCGCCTCCGCAACTCCGCGTCCCACAGCCTTCCCCTCCCACATACTTCCCCGTCGTCTCGTCTTCCCCCCCCCCCCGCCTAAAGCCTACAGTCCTCAACCAGGTCGGATCCTCCGCAATATACCGCTGCTCCGGCGGCTTGCTATAGTTCAGTGAGTGGAGTTCGTAGATATGTCTGGCAGAGGCAAAGGCGGGAAGGGGCTCGGCAAGGGTGGCGCTAAGCGGCACCGCAAAGTGCTGCGTGACAATATTCAGGGCATCACTAAGCCGGCTATCCGCCGCCTGGCTCGGCGTGGCGGCGTGAAGCGTATCTCGGGGCTCATTTACGAGGAGACGCGCGGTGTGCTGAAGGTTTTCCTGGAGAACGTGATCCGCGACGCCGTCACCTACACGGAGCACGCCAAGAGGAAGACTGTGACCGCGATGGATGTGGTCTATGCTCTCAAGCGCCAGGGACGCACCCTCTACGGCTTCGGCGGTTAAGTTCCGGTTGCAAACCATACACAGTCAAAACAAGGCTCTTTTAAGAGCCACCCACAAATTCCACAATGGAGAGCTGGTCATTGCTGAACTTTAAAGTTTTTGGAACACTCACAATGCTTAAACATTCTTGTAGTGTACAATTGCAAAATTTTAGAATAGGTGTTGAAAGCTTTTTAGTAACATTTTCAGAATTCAGAAGCTGCTACAAGTATCTTTCTAAAATAACAACACTGAGTGGTACAAAATACTTTGATACTAGTTATTTCTACAAGCTATGCAAAATTAAAGTTAATGCATCTATCAACATAAGCGCTGTGCTTCATGATTTAATTAATTAGTATTAAAATCTTATAGGCAATTCCAGCTCCTTTTGAAAAAGAGTGGGGGCTCTTAAAAGAGCCTTTGGATTAAAACTGTTTTACTTGGAGCTGGTATACTTGGTGACAGCCTTAGTGCCCTCGGAGACTGCGTGCTTGGCCAGCTCACCAGGCAGCAGGAGCCGCACGGCCGTCTGGATCTCCCGAGAGGTGATGGTGGAGCGCTTGTTGTAGTGCGCTAAGCGCGAGGCTTCGCCGGCGATGCGCTCAAAGATGTCGTTGACGAAGGAGTTCATGATGCTCATGGCCTTGGACGAGATGCCCGTGTCGGGGTGCACCTGCTTCAGAACCTTGTACACGTAGATAGAGTAGCTTTCCTTCCTTGCTCTCTTTCGCTTCTTTTCACCCTTCTTCTGCGTCTTGGTGACAGCTTTCTTGGAGCCCTTTTTTGGAACAGGAGCTGATTTTGCTGGTTCAGGCATCCTTCAAAGTTTCTTTCTAAGATCTTCACTGTACCTCAACAACGTAGGAAATGGCGCCTACCCCCGTATTTATAAGGGCGTTATGCAAATTAGAGGATTGTAACAGTTCCATTCCTATTGGAGTAAAATATGCCAACGCAATTACAGACATTTCCGTCCTGTAACCCTTGGGCGCTACATTTGCACAACCTTTGTGCTTGGCAGCTACTATGATTGCGGTAAAACCTACACTATCAAAAAAAAAAAAAACAAAACAAAAAAAAAAACCCAACCAACCTTCCCCGCCCCCCCCCCCAAAAAAAAGGAAAAAAATTCTGCACTAAATTCACTTTTTAAAACTCATATTCATACATAGGTACTTTGTACTGTTCCGGTGTTCCTAGGACTTTTAGCATGGTATATTTTCCATCCCCTTTAAAAATCTGAAATTGCATAACTCAAAAAATGGTTAACTGTAAGTGTGCAATTATGCATTTAAACGACACAAATATGTCTAAAACTTTACACCTTAAACATTGAAGTTAAGTAATAACTAGCTCTCATTGTGAAATTTGTGGGTGGCTCTTAAAAGAGCCTTGTTTTGACTGTGTATGGTTTGCAACCGGAACTTAACCGCCGAAGCCGTAGAGGGTGCGTCCCTGGCGCTTGAGAGCATAGACCACATCCATCGCAGTCACCGTCTTCCTCTTGGCGTGCTCCGTGTAGGTGACTGCGTCCCGGATCACGTTCTCCAGGAAAACCTTCAGCACACCGCGCGTCTCCTCGTAAATGAGCCCCGAGATGCGCTTCACGCCGCCACGCCGAGCCAGGCGGCGGATAGCCGGCTTAGTGATGCCCTGAATATTGTCACGCAGCACTTTGCGGTGCCGCTTAGCACCACCCTTGCCGAGCCCCTTCCCGCCTTTGCCTCTGCCAGACATATCGACGAACTCCACTCCCACTCACTGAACTATAGCAGGCCGCCGGAGCAGCGGTATATTGCGGAGGATCCGACCTGGTTGAGGACTGTAGGCTTTAGGCGGGCGGGGGGGGGGGGGGACGGGGCGGAGACGAGACGACGGGGAAGTATGTGGGAGGGGAAGGCTGTGGGACGCGGGAGTTGCGGAGGCGGTTCTTTATCTGGTGCCTCCGCCCCCAAGCGGCCCCCTTGCAGCTCAGGACCGGCTTCCCGTGGGACGCTGACTGAGCCGCTTTCGTCGGCACCGGCGCTGTGGCGCGTCTTGTGGCTCTGCCTGTCTCGACCAATACCGGACTCCAGCCCCGTGCTGCCACTCGGCTCCTGCCCGAATTCAGTCTGCTAAAACCTTTCGCTTGTCTCCCGTCGCATCCTTGCCCTCCCTGTCCCGCGCAAGTGCCTGTTAAGTGGCAGGTGGGAGGTCTCCATCAGCGGCAGGAGCGGCAGCCCCGGCCCCTTGTCGACTCTTCCCCACTCTGCGGCAAAATCTTACCAATCCGCGTCCTCTCTCAGCGCTACCGCCCCGCCCACGCTTTGGGCTCTTCATGTGCTGCTTTGTAATTTTTTTGTTGTCAGTGTTTGCCTGCACAGAGACCCTCCGCCGGGTATCTTTACATAATCTCTGCCAACCTTGTCCCCTTCGATATACAGCTGCTTTCTGTTCATAAATCCCTCTACATGTTGCTCAAGAGGAGGGAAAGCAAACTCTTCAGCCTTGTGATAAGGAGAAGGGTCTATTTCCATTTCCTTCCTCACCAGACAACCTGGTTCAAAACTCTTCAGTGTTCTATTATGAAATTGGGTAAATCTATACCCAATATATATAGGGTCTACCTTACAATTGAGGTAACCACTTACTTTGCAATTTTAACTATAACATTTAGGGAAGTATCATAGTCCACTTGACAACATCCCCCGTCCCTCCCCCCTATAATAAGGCGGTCTTTGCTTCTCTGCTTAGTCACCTCATAAACACCCCCTAGTCAGCTTTTGGCTGGATTCCTACATTTAAACTCATCTACAGCCAAGCGAAGGATCTGTTGGTATATGTGTGTCAGCTTCCAGCCAGATAAGTCTCTTATTTTTACAAAACAAATGCAATTAACAACTCCAAATTATAAATCAGAATGTTAAGTAAAGGCATTCATAGGATTCATGGGTAAATGAAACAGTTATGGAAAGATACATCAAGAAGCAGAATGGCCACAAAGCCATCCATTTCGCAGCAGCACACAATTGATGAAGCCCCATGGAAAGTTCTCAGGGAGGTTCTAGCGGCGCTGATTTATATTCCTAGGGGACATGGGTGGGAGTGCCTGTGCTGCACTTTTCGTTAAATTATTGATAAATAGTATCTCTTAAATGTTACTTCTAACATGTAAAAAAAAATAATAAAAAAATAAAAATCAAACCAGCCTCCCCAACACTGTTGATGATACAAAGTATCATTATATGGAAGTGTTCTTAAAATACAATGTATACACCATTTCAAAATACACTGTAATTTGATTTTAAGGCCATTCATTTCTATGTGTTAAGCTCCGAGTTTACAAGTGCATTACAACACTGTCATACTTGCTAAAATCCATCGGGCCATACAAAGTATTTGTTAAAAATTGCCCTCTAGAGCAATTTATTATTTCTCCATGGCCTCACAGGTTGAAGCTCTTACAGGTTTGTATACTGCACGGCTTTACTGGTCCCTTCTGATGGAATACTTGAGATAACATACAAAAGCATAGGTGCAGAGAGAAGGGAAATGCTCATAATTATCTCAAACATTTATGATATAGAGTAAACATGCAAGGAAATGTCAGAAGATCTTCAGAAATGTATAGTGATAAGTCAGGATAAAGGGTAAAGAGAGCAGCAAAAGGGACACTCAGATTTGAGCAGCTTTTCAAGTATCTTAAATAAATTTAATCTCCACATGTGGATCAGAACAGGTGGCACAGCACTACTTAGAACACCCTTTGCTGATGTATAAAGGTGGGGTAATTGTGCCCAGCACATTTTCTTCCCAGTCTTATGCTAGGAAATTGGCACAGTGCTTGGGCGTAAAAGCCTGCAGGACAGAGAATCAGTTCTTAAAATGAAGCCAAACTACCACTGCCTGGAAACTGCATAAGAATTAGCTTTTTCTCTGGGGTTAACTACTCATAGAATAGTTTGGGTTAGAAGGGACCTTCAAAGATCACCTAGACCAACCCCACTGAAATGAACAGAGAGACCCTCAACTAGACCAGATGGCTCAGAACCACATCCCACCTGGCCTTGAATGTCTCGTGGGATGGTACATCCACCAATTCTGGGCTATCTGTGACAGTATTTGACCATCCTCATTGTAAAAATATTTATTCCTCACTTCCATTCTGAATCTTCCCTCTTTCAGTTTAAAACCATTACCCCCTATCCTATTGCAACAGGCCCTGCTATGAAGTCTGTCACCGTATTTCTTATAGGCCCATTTTAAGTACTGAACTATCAACTGATGTTAAGGGGGGGAGGAAGGGGGGAGAAAGGAGGAGAATCCCCAATAGCTAATATATGTTGCATCAAAGCTTAATGCAAGAACTCAAAAAAGAGGGGAAAGTGTTTTTATTTCAAAGCAAAAGTGATTTCACTCCCACATCCTAACGTACACACTCAAAAGACTAAGTCTGCAAGTGGGCAGGACAGTGTCTTTTGCAGAGACAGACAGGATAAGGCATATTTGCTACAAGTCCTCCAGATGGTCTCCAGGGAGGGAAAAGTGATGGCTACCATATGCTCATCTTTGAATGATATTCTGTATCATTCAGAACCTAGCAGCAATTCTATTATTCTGTCTCTCCAACTTCTAACACTTTTGTGACCATTAGAATTTACTCACTAACTGTTGTCTCCATATCCAAATTCCTTATTGGTCCAGGGCTGATTGTTATCTTCCTCTGTCTCCTCTCAGTTACTTTAATTGATGTTGTCCCTTGCTTTATGCATTGCTTCACTTTCACAGACCGGATGTCCCAGACAAGCTGCAGGAAGATTTGGGTTCTGATATCTAGGTACAATCCTCATGCTCCATACTTAAAATTATTCTTCTGTTCTTCTTTCTGGTGCATGTGTATACTACCCATTTCCAGGGTTCTGGGAATAGCTGTTCCTTCACATGTTTTTACACACTCATTCTCCTCCTCCATCTCACTATTTCAGTTACTAATGCTGTATGAGTACTCACTGGAGTTGTAAAGACCACCACTCATTTCTAAGATAATTTAAGGCTTCAGATACAGTATAGTGAAGCTCACCAAACGTCAGGGGGATGTCTTTTGTAACACTGCTGCACTGCACTCTGTACTGTCACCTAGGACATTAGGACACTCTTACAGGGGGATGTAAGTTTTCAGGCTGCAACCTGTGCTGCTGGACTTTGCCACAGTGCTGTCCTATAAGCAGTAATTATTCCTGGATAAAGAAGATTAGAGAGTCTGGAAATATCTCCACTCTTGGAATTTCACATTAAGAACTTTTTGTGCTGGTAAGCAGTACCTGCTCTTGTTCTTTGTGGTCTAAAATATGTTATTTTCCTGACTTTTAAAAAGGTGTGGAAATGAAATGTGGACCCAATTTTAGAAATAAGACAATGCATCTTTTACAATATAGAAACAGTATAACAACACAATTTTCTAACTAGGTTTGTCTCTCAAAGCCAAGTATCAAACTGATCTTACAGTTTTCATTGAGACAAAGAATTTAAACACTACATCCCAAATGCTGCTGAATCTTGTGAACCTTGACCAAAGAATATAAGGAATCTTGTATAAGATAAATCGCTGTGAACTTTGTACAATGCCAATTGTAAGCAGAGCAGGATGTTTAGGTTGAAAGTATCTGAAACTAACAGATGCTCAGGATGAGCTTTAGCTAAGCTGACTGATAAGTAAAAGAATGGAAAGGAATCATTTACCTATATCAGCAGTGTTGCCAAATCCTAAAAACTGGCATAAACATTTATCTACTGCGCATGCTTTAAAGACTGCTGGAACAAGAACTGAAGAAGCAGACAAGTGATGAAGTCACTTGGAAAAAGTAAAAAGATCACCAAAGACCACCAGAGCGACTGTAAAGCTTGAAAGTGGACAATAGATGGCAGCAAAGACAGTGAAATAACAGTCTAAGACTAAGCGTGCTTATGTTAATGACTTCCAAAAATTGTAATACATGTGCATTAACCTTGTAAACTTAAGCGATGTAAGCGCAACCAGTCACTGGGAGCCCTTATGGAAGAGAATCCCCAGTGCGGCCCCAGCACTGAAATAAAGAATGCCCGATTAACAGTAGCTAATAATTGCTGTTGAGTGTATTTCTTTGTTTCAGCTAGATCAGTATCTCCTGCAAAAAGTAAAGAAATGCTGCTGGACTTTTCTCATACCAGAGGAACCTCCATTTCTATTCTCACTTTGAGTTAGGAAACTTCACAGTAAGCCATCTCTGTGTATTTTGGATTTAAAAAAAGAAATATATTACATGAAAACAGGACATCCATCTATGCAAATACAGCTATATCTCTAAATCACAGTGTATTTGGGTTTTGTTTTGGTAAATACCTCCCAAGGTCTATTCTGTATCAGACTTAACTGATAAACAGTTTCTCTGAATTTTATAGAAAGTGCAAAATGTCTTTCAATTCCTTAAGTAGTTTCTTTGTTCACAAAATTCCAACTTAATTAAATACTCCTGATACCTGTTCTTAGTTGCACCTTATGAAATTATTTCCCTCCCACATGCCCTTTAGGATTATTTTTTTGTTGTTGTTGTTCTTTCTTAGTTAAGAGGTTCAATATCATATGCAAACTGATATGATTTACCACTTGTGTAAGGAGGGAAGAGTGAGGCCCACTGCATAAGTTAGTTTCCCACTGTTCCTCATATCAATAGTACAGCTATCTGCAGCTGTTACAGACTTCAAAATTCAGCTTTAACATTTTAATTATTAGCCTGGTCCAGTAGTACAAACTATGATAGATTATTAGTGTTTTCTCATAATGTATTGCACCCCAAAGCCACTTCAGATTCAGGCATTGTGATTTAGGGCTCATACAAGCTCACCCTTTCTGCAAAAACCTTACACATCTGTTTCTTTCTCAGCTGCTGGTGTGTTAGCCCCCCCCCCTTTTTTTTTTTAATTCAAGCATGCAGCTCTCCAAATGAGCCCCAGTAATACCATATTTATTAAAACAGCCCAACATTTTCAAGAGACTAGAGAAAAACTGACGGAAATTAAGGAAAATAAAGCTTGTTTCCTTATCTCACCCCTCAAAAAAACATTTATTTCCTGAACCTGAAAAAACAAGAGCATCATTTTTCCTAAACTGCTGTTGAAATTTAAGTATCTTGACTGTTGGCGTATAACTAACATCAACCTTATAAAATATTAAATATTTTACTTAAATTGTTAACAATTTTATAAAAGACACATGATAAAAGAAGGTTGAGATAAATAACTAGATTCCACAGAAAGCAACAGTCTGCTTTCACTAAGACTCATTTCTGCAGTCACTTTGGAAATCACTTACTAAAAAAAACCCAACAAAACAAACAAAACCAAAAAGCAAACAACCAAAACCAAACAACCCCAAAAGCTGTTTTTGAAAAACACAAACCCTATATCAATGAACAAATTAGGGCCATGGGGAATGAATTGCAGACACTATCTTAATTTTCAGAGTATTATTCCCAATACATCCCCCCTTCCTTTTACTCTTCAGAGAAGTAGCAGAAAATGGCTGAAAGTGACATAAACAAGGGAAAGGAAATGGTGCGTGGAAGCACTTCATTGGTCAGATTTTGCTGCAGAGTCCAAGTACTTCACACAGAGAAAGAATGATTCCCTAAGCTGGGGTGTATCAGCAGTTAACAGAAAACTAAGGTTTCTGCAGCGTGAGGCTTTCCAAGGGAAATATTTCCTCTAAGCAATTTTCTGTAGGCCCTTGTTGCTGAGTTAGAGTGAAGGCTGTGCTCTACTCAATCCACCCGCTTCTTAAAGGCACAGCTATTCTTTTGTTAAGTGAAAAGCCAGACACTTCAGTGGAACAGTTAGACTTTCCCAAATCACACATAAAGGACTAGCAGAAAGAAATAAATGAGAAAATGCGACAGAAAGTCAAAGATTGTTTTAGAACTCCATATTTTTCAGACACTAACTACAGAGTAACCAAGGAGGAAAATAGAGGTTGTGCAGCTCAACTTACAATCGGGGAAAAATCATGTTTTCCAGGTAGGTTCAATAAAAAAGTTATAAAAAAAAAGTTATAAATATGACATACGAAAGAGTCTCTATTTAAGAATTCTAGACTCTATGACAAGTTTTTAGTCACCAATACTTTTTGGAAAACACTTCCTTTGTGCTCAGTTCAGCAAATATTTTCAGGTCCCTAAACACAGATGGGAGACAATTTATGTAAACAGGTATCCCTAATAATTCACATAGGACACCAAGAAATATCAGGGATATCATGAGTGTGTTCCGGAGAAGACACCAGCATAAAAGAACCCTGACGGTACGGTCAGAAGTTATACTCACCACCAACCCTACCCCTAGCTCTCTCTAGAAATAGAGGGGTTATCACAGGAATAAAATAGAAGTGCTTGGAAAGGGATGAAGGTGCCTGTGGCGGGGTGGGGGTCTTTCATCAGGAAATATCAGACCACGAGTGATAAAGCACTGAGAGAACTACCGGCCAAGGCAGTGTCTTTCGTGGAAAGGCGGGAAAAGGCGGCTTCTACCACAAACCTTCCCTCCTTCCCCACCCCACACCCCTCTCCAAAACAAACCAACCAACCAAACAAACAAACAAAAAAGGTTTGTTAAAGAAAACTAAGAAAACTGTGCTTGTCAGGACAATGAACCGTAATACTGCTACCATAAGAACATCAAGGAAAAGACATTGACAATAGACATAGTCTGAACACATTTTCCTAATCTAAATGCAGAATGACTCTATTAAGTCATCTTTATTAATTCAAATTTCGTATAAATGGTTTTAGCACACACCACCAGATAAATACAATCCGTTTAGAGCTAAGTATCTTGTTCATTCAGAAAAAGAAAGCCCAAGATAATAGCTGACTTTGTAACAGCTAAACAGGAGTTTTTCGCCCTAAATTGGTGTGTCTTGCCAAGATCACCTCAGAATTAATTACCTACAGCAAACTCGTTTGGATAACATCAGAACCCTTTAAAAACCATTGAAATTGCGACTCCCACACTTTGTTCGGTACTTACTTGACAGATTGCAGGCTCTTTATCACTATAAAGCTACCGCGAAAAGCACAGGGAAAAGCATCTCTTCACACACAGAACTAAGAGGTTACAGCTCTCTTTAGTGGCCATATGGTGGCTCTTAAAAGAGCCTTTGGGGTTTTGATAGGCAGATGAATTTGCTAGTCTTACGCGCGCTCGCCGCGAATGCGTCGCGCCAGCTGGATGTCCTTGGGCATGATGGTGACGCGCTTGGCGTGGATGGCGCACAGGTTGGTGTCCTCGAACAGCCCCACCAGGTAGGCCTCGCTCGCCTCCTGCAGCGCCATCACGGCCGAGCTCTGGAAACGCAGGTCGGTCTTGAAGTCCTGCGCGATCTCACGCACCAGGCGCTGGAAGGGCAGCTTGCGGATCAGCAGCTCCGTCGACTTCTGGTAGCGCCGGATCTCGCGCAGCGCCACCGTGCCGGGACGGTACCGGTGCGGCTTCTTCACACCGCCCGTGGCCGGCGCGCTCTTGCGGGCCGCTTTGGTGGCCAGCTGCTTGCGGGGCGCCTTCCCGCCTGTCGATTTACGCGCCGTCTGCTTAGTACGAGCCATCACTACAGAAAGTTAATCAGCGACACTAAGCTATGAGAACCTGTGGCAAAAGCAGCCTCAGGGCCCCCTACTTATAGCCATCACTGCCCTGTGATTGGCCTGCCGGAAAGCACGAGTTCCATTGGATAGCTTGAAGGATTTGAAATGCCCGCCTCCGGTTGCTCGCAGGGTGGATTGTAACGGCCGCTTCCCGCTCCGCAGTCCCCTCCCCCGATGAAGGCGGTGTTCCTGTCACTCACCCTCTCCACCCCCCTCTTTTCCCCGCCGAAAGGAGCCGGCAGCGGCGGCGCCCTCTGACCACAGTGGAACCTGACAGTGAAACCGCGGTGTTTGCCCCCTCCCCGCAGTAGGCGTTTTTGTCACCGCCGCTGTCCCTGGCGCGCATGAATTCAGCAGCCTTGAGAAAGGTTTTTTTCTAAAGCCAGACTTACCAAGCACATCCTGCACCATTCGCAGTTCGATAAAGCGCTTCCATTCACTTTTTTTTTTAAGCACCTCTTCTATTACTAGGTAATAGTAACTTATTACTTAGAATCTATAAGGAATATGTTTATTCTTCTCTATCAAAAAGAGGTGGCAAAATAAACTCTATGCTGCTTCCACGTAAAGTCTAGGGATGAATTAAACGATACCGATTCTTATACAGTTTCATTTCAGCTGTGCGCAGTGACAAATTTCATGAAACATCGTATCCCAAATGTTGCGCATACGCAGACTAACCCCGACAGAGCTCTCCGAGTAAACAAGCCGCTCTGGCTAGTGGCCAAATTGCTAGAGACTGATAGCTGAGGGTTAAGAGACGACGGAGATTTATTAGAAATTGGAGAACCTGCATTACCATAAGGTTGTTTTGTAAGATAAAAGCCCACTCAAACAGAAAAGCTTTATTTCATACCGAAATGTCCTCAAGGTTGCAGTGCATGTTTATCTGCACTTGCTCAAAACCTAGAGCAGATAGTAACTTGAAAATGAAAAATGGTAAACTTAATGGCTTTAGAGCTCGATTAGGCTCTTAGCATTTTTCTTACAACCTTCACGATGAGCAATTGAGGTGGGGAACACACAAGATGACCCGCATCATTACTAGCACTTCAACATTTCCTGATTGAATGCTACCTACACTCAGGGAAATAACACCAAATACAAGTACCACTCACCAAATACAGCGTGAACGACTCTTTTACTGAAAATGTGGGTGGCTCTTAAAAGAGCCTTTGGGTTATGTGATCCACCATTTACTTGGAACTGGTATACTTGGTGACAGCCTTAGTGCCCTCAGAGACTGCATGCTTGGCCAGCTCACCAGGCAGCAGGAGCCGCACAGCCGTCTGGATCTCCCGAGAGGTGATGGTGGAGCGCTTGTTGTAGTGTGCCAGGCGGGAGGCTTCGCCGGCGATGCGCTCAAAGATGTCGTTGACGAAGGAGTTCATGATGCCCATAGCCTTGGAGGAGATGCCCGTGTCGGGATGCACCTGCTTCAGCACCTTGTACACATAAATAGAATAGCTTTCCTTCCTAGTCTTTCTACGCTTCTTGTCACCTTTCTTCTGCGTCTTGGTGACAGCTTTCTTAGAGCCCTTTTTCGGAGCAGGAGCGGATTTTGCTGGTTCCGGCATTTTACAAGTCTGTCTCTACCAGTCTATTGCAGAAACGACGTAAATACACTGCCGGTGCCCCCGTATTTATAGGGAAGGTATGCAAATAAGATGACTCAGTGCTGTTCTTTTCCATTGGACAGTCCGCGTCTCTGATGTCAGACTACATGGCATCTTTGATTGGTAGCTCTTTCATCTGTCTTCCCATTGGTTAACTTTACAATCTCAGTCTCCGCCAATCAAAAGTCCCACCGAAGCCCAGAAGGAAGAGATAAAAAGGCTGGGCGGGAGCTGTCGTTTTTCTTCCTTTTCCTTAGCATTTTTTCGGTTGGTTGTTCTTTTTTTCGTTGTTTGTTTGTGGTGGTATTCTTTATTTCGTAGCTTTTATTTGCGGTATGTCTGGGCGTGGCAAGCAGGGCGGGAAAGCGCGTGCCAAGGCTAAATCGCGCTCGTCGCGGGCAGGCCTGCAGTTCCCCGTGGGTCGCGTCCACCGCTTGTTGCGTAAGGGCAACTATGCGGAACGGGTGGGCGCCGGCGCCCCGGTGTACCTAGCAGCAGTGCTGGAGTACCTGACTGCTGAGATCCTGGAGCTGGCGGGCAACGCGGCCCGTGATAACAAGAAGACACGCATCATCCCGCGGCACTTGCAGCTTGCTATCCGCAACGACGAGGAGCTCAACAAGCTGCTGGGCAAGGTGACTATCGCACAGGGTGGTGTGCTGCCCAATATCCAGGCTGTGCTGCTCCCCAAGAAGACCGACAGCCATAAAGCTAAAGCCAAGTAAAACTTGGCAAACAACCCAAAGGCTCTTTTCAGAGCCGCCCCCATTTTCCTAAAAGGAGCCGGAACACCCGAGGTATATTCAGTTTTATTTTTCTAGTTGGTGAATGTCCTTACCTGTTCTTTATTTCATTTGTTTCTAAGGACCATGGTTTTATGTAATTTTTTTCTAGTTTTACTCTTGAAAAGCCAATAAAAGGTGGCAGTTGCAAGTTATGAAGCCTGTCACCGCCGCATGGTTTAGGAGGGACGATCAGAACAGGTCAAGTGTTGTGGACTCGCCACCCGTCTGAGGTGGTGGGCAGCAGCACCCCTCTCCGGCCAGGGGTAGGTTCGGTGTGGGGGGATGGCTATACTTGGCCACCGTGAGGCGCGGGGTTGTCTCCGGCTAATCCGCGCGGTTTTCAAAATCGGGTAGGGTTGGATCGTACTGTTTTCCACGCGCAGCTAGTGCTATAGAGGGGAAAAGTATCCTGACCGCTTTGTGTAGAGCGGCTGCTTTGTTTGTCTACCTATTGAGGTTCTTTATTTACTTATATTTTGTGGCTTTCAGGCAATAGTGGCAGAACTGTATTTCACTGGGATGCCAGACTGTAACCACCCCGGAGTGGTTTTCAAAGCACAGCATCAACTGTTATGAATGATTGGGGTGTCACTGGAAATTGTAATGCAGGATGGCAAGTTAAACCAAAAGAGGGTCAAGTATATTTTTCTGTAGCATGTGAGTGCTTATTGAAGCACTATGGAAAGTCATATGTAATTGCAGCAGGGGATAAGCATGTACTAGTCTAGACTTGAACTGATGCTTCGATCATTTTTTTTATTCTGACATCATGGGTGGCATTTAAAGGTGCTGTTGGGCTTCTCTACAAAGGTTTCCTCTTACTGTATATCCTCTTGGGTGCTGCTTTCATTAGTGCCACCTTTGTGAGCTAGGTAGCCTTAGTCATCTTGAGTGTAGCGGCTGCCGGCTGCTTGGGAATTCTGAAGTCCCCTTTAGCCCACTGTAGCACCGGAGCCCTGTGCTCTCCTTGGCGGTGAGCACGCCCCGGGACACAGAATCGGTGGCGCTTGGGCCTTGGGGTTTGGAGCCGTTCCTCACCGTCTGCAGCTGCTTGGCAATCGGAGCCAAGACGACGGGAAAAGCATCGGGTATGGCTGGGGACAGGAGAGGCCGGAATTTGTAGGGAGGAGTCTCTCGACCATTGGTGCACCGAGGAGCCAGCTGTGCTGGAATGTAGAGAAGGTTTAGCTCACTTTTGTTTTCTCTATACAGTTTATTCATTTGCTTTCACTGTAAAAGAATATGTTAGGCAAACATAGATAAAACAGGCGTTTACTTTTTCCTCTTCAGTAGTGTTTTATGAGGAAGTAAAAGCTGCCCGAAGGGTAGGCAGGAATGCAATCACAGAAGCCTTCGAAGGAGCTGCCCGGGGGTAGGGAATGTTCCCTTTGTTCTTTAAAAGAGCCCCTTGAGCCCTAAGGAAAGAAAAATTGCTGCTTTTATAGTGTCCTGCCTCAGCAGACAGATGAGTGAGTCATTGTGGCAATGGTTAATCGCAAATGTTTTTCAAGCAGAGATATAACGCGGGGGGGGGTGCCCGACTCAAGTGCCTCTTGGAAACAGGATGGTTTCGGGTCGCGGGTCCGGCTTCAAACAGTACTTGCTGCTTACACAATTTACAAGACTGTTTTGGTTTGGTTTGGTTTCTTTTCCCTCCTGAAATAGAAAGGACTTTTTTATCTCCGTGTCGTGTCCGTCCGTCCCCCCCGTCCCCCCCCCGAGTCAACCCCGTCTTATTGGAAAAAAAAAAAAAGGGGGGGGGGAACCCAAAATACATTAAGTATTAATCTTCCGCCATTTAGAGATAGACTTTGAAGCAGTATTAACCACAGGACTTTGGTAGTAGCCATGCTGAAACTTGAGACTAGAAATAAGTTTTGGGAAAAAGTTTTTTTCTTTTTCTAGAATAATTTCGGTTTCTTGTACATTAAGTATATTATACTTGTAGGTAAGTATATTCAGCCGAAGAACCTTCTGTTAGTGAATACTTAGTAGGTGGGAAGAGATGGTGTAGGTCTGAAGCCAAGGACTGATATGTAGAAAGGCTTGGTTAGGCCGTTTGAAATCCCGTTTTGAAACAAAGGCCTCACATGTTTTCTTTTTGCTCTCAAAAGCAAAAAGCTGTTAGGAGGGAGTGTTTCTTTTCAAGAGCAATGTCACACTGAAGTACCTGAGAAGATAGTATCTCTGTTCCACTGGCCTTAGAAATTACAGGAGGTTTTTGTTCTTCAATGATGTTTGAAAAAAAAATCCCTTGAAGACACAAGTATTTTCAAATGAAGTATGAGTAGATTGAAATCTAGTCTAAAGTATGTTTTTCTATTCACTCAAAACTAGCTACACTCAGTAATGGTAAAGCGTTACATATTTTTCTCTGTCTTTCTAGCCAAGCTTCCACCGTGAGATAGCACATACAAAGAGCTCAGTTTCCTTATATAGTAGTTTATAATTAGTGTTCTATTTTCTATTATTGTATTCTAGTATTGTCATGATCATTTTGTTTCAGGCAAGATGCTTTAAGCTAGCATATTTACCAGAAAAGCGGGCAAGTTAGAGTGTTTGCCTAGGCCAAGAGAAGTAAATGGAATCAAATGCTTTGTACCAAGGATGTGTCCATGAAGCTGTGGGTTAAACTTATTTAACATTTGAGCAGCAGAGTGTATACAAAGGCTAAACATATATAAATATTTTCATAAACTACTCTTAAACCTCTTCACTCCAGATTTTAGTTCCTCTAGTACCTTTCTGCAAGCATACATAGCAAACCAAAATAAAACAAGTTGGGAGCATCTTGCAGATCTGATGTAATGTATAGAAAGCTCTTGAATTTTATCAGTAATTTTCATATTCAGACCTTCATAGGCATCAAATGAAGTTAAAAAATATTATTGATATTGTTGTTTATTTCTCTTAGGTACACAGTGCAAGATTAACTTATACATTGGTAACACGAAAAAGTCACATGTCTCTACTCACAATTTCAGAAGCTCTGACATTCAAAAAGTTTGAATGAAAATCTGAAAGCCAATTGCACTAAAACTGAGAAATGCAGCAGAAACCTTCATTTGCAGACAAGAATGGATGCTTCGAGTAACAGAAAAGCAGATTGCTGCAAGCTGCAGCTAAGTCCTTGTGTGTCTTTTCTCTTTGCATCTTCTGTGAGTCTCCTGACATTTCTGTGGCACAACTGAGTACCAGGAGGTGTATGGATCAGTTTGGTCTTTTCTTCCAAGCTCCGCTATCTGATTGGTACAGGCTCGGGCCTGGGATTGTCACTCCACCCAGACTGCAGCAATTCCTGACCAATCCTGCTCAGGAAGTGGTTTCTCTCCCTCCCTTCCTCCCTCCTCCTTCTCCCTCTGTTTACCTTCTCTGCCATTCTCTCCCCCTGAATAGTTTATATATTTTAACCATGCTTTCTTTATAATGTAGCTGCCACCCAGGATTGAAAAAAGTCAGGGTTCTAGTTTGCTCTGTTAGTAAATGTTATGCTGTTCTTCAGGTTTTAGGACAGAGAGAACGTCCTTCATGATAAGCTCATAACCATTAGAGGTTTCCACCCCTTTGTTCATTATGTCCTAGAAAACGTGATGCGTGGTATGGAAAAAAGCCTGCCATACTAACTAGGCAAATGCAAACAGGCTTTTTTCCCCTCTTCAAATGCTATCTCATATATAACTTCTCTAATAATTTTATTATTTTAAGACTCTGAACTCTGTATGTGAATAATACTGCTCTTTACATGTGAGGAAAGTTTTCAAATGGAAACCAAGTTATTTGTTCTTGCAGTAGAGAGCTGTTGGATTATTTTCTGTTATGGAAGTTTCTCTGTTTCCTCCCCAAGTAGTCTGCGACAGAACTATAAAAATACCTGCACAGGGAAGAATGCTTGTAAGTTGGAAGTCCTGAAAAAAAAAATAGTTAAATTAACAAATAGGTGCTCTTTAAAGGTGAACTCTTATGTGGGTCAATTGTTTGTTTAGGCTTAGGTTTTGGTGAGTTTGCTTTGGGACTGGAGGTATTTGACCTTGATACAAAACCAAAACTTATCCTCAGGAAGCGTCTATAGTTAACTGGCAGTTGACAGCACCAGGGATCAGCTTAGAAGTCTTTTAGAGATGGAAAATATTTACCACTGTTGTTACAAAGTGGTTATGGTTGGCAGCTGTGTTCTACAGAATTGATTGCTGTAGAGGAGAGAGATGGCTCTGGCCTCACCTTAAGTAAAGAAGATAAGCACAAACATCTTCATCCAGTTGTCCAGTAGTTATGTCTGCTCTGAAAGAGTCTCAGTATCCTTAATTTGAGGTCTAAAATAAGCTTCTCTATCTTAATTACTTTTCTCAGAACTCTCTATTCCAGTTGCATTGCACTTTTATTGTTATTATTACTTTTAGAGGCCAGAAATGTGCACAGTTCTCAAGGTGCAACTGTTTTGCACAATGGTGTTAGCGTAAGAACTGACACATAACCACCGGAATGGCTATATGAGGTGCTTTATTGCAGCGCTGGGAAACCAGGGGCACGCGCCCAAATCTGGCTTCGACCCCCATCTCATCGCATCCGCAATTTATACACTATTCAATACAGATTACATTATTAACTAATACATATGCATTAAGGATTACCACATCAATCTATTACGACATCAGCCTCCTCTACACTTGCGCAGCCCCCTGCGGTGGTCGTCCTGATGAAGTAAGGAGTCTTCCTCGGATGAAATAAGTCTTCCTTGCTCTGTCCTTTTTCACCTTTCGTTCTTTGGACAGGCCCCAACCATTATGTAGATGCCACCATTCTCTTATCCTCACTTGACTACCCTTAGTATGCCTGTGATTTCTGCTTCGATAGAGATTTACAATACTTTTTCATATCTACTCATGTGCCCTTCACCATATATGGCTATGTTAGCTCTTGCTACCAAGACTACCATTGTAACATTTGTTATAACCACGATAGAAGACTGCAAACCAAGCCACAAAGTTACATTTCCTAATGTACAAAACCAGACTATTGACTTAAAATTTCTTAAATATAATCATTTCTAATGTTTTATATTATTGTTTTATCATAAAAACTTCACCCTTTTCTAAGAATGGTACAAAGGTACAATATCTTCTGGTTTGCTTTGTGCTCCTTTTCTAGTGATTCTTGACGTTCAAAATATTCTCATTGTAGTGCTTCTGATCATTAAATTATGTGGGCTTGTTTTTTGTTGTGTGTGTTTTTTTTCTTTTGGGTGTGTTGTTTTTTTATTTTTGTTTTTTTTTGTGGTTAGGATCAACCTGGAGGGAGTGAAGATGGTGAGACAGTTCTGAGTACTGAGTTAGTGATCTGGCAGTCAGGCAGTGAAACTGAAAACTGGTCAAACCCAAGTTTATCAATGAGAAGGCTGAAATTTATTTTCCTTTAATGACATTCAAGTTGCCTAAGCCTTGGAAAATACAAGATGGTTTTGTTGTTAAGGTCATAATAAGATCACAGGTCAGGCAAATGGAGACTCTATCACCAAAAGGATGGTTTGATTTTCCACCATCCATTACAATCCAGAAATCTAAGGCCATGTTTCTGTAGGCAGTGAAGTTCCTATTGGTTGCTAGTCCTAGGCATTCACTGTGTTTGTACGGACTGCTAGCTGCTGAAGGACCTTGCAGACGCATCCCAGCAGCTCTAATGATTTTTCTAGGTGTGTGTGTGTTCAATAGAATATTTCATACTAGATGCATGTTTCTGTGTGTGCATGCACGCATAACATGCCGAAGGTAAAAGGACAGTTATTATACAGAACAGCAGAAGGATATGGAAGATAATTCTAATAAGCTTAATATTTAATTACTATACATTGGGAGAAAAAAAAAAGCTGAAAATAGTTCATTACCTTGTAAAGGACTTTATAACTTTGTCTTATGTACACTCTTTGCTGTATCCCACTTTCAGTCTGATCTATCCCTTCTTCATCCCTAAGAGTTTGGGGGTAAAAAGTAAGGTTATTGAAGGTTTTTGCATAAACACATCAATGCATGAAAAGGTAATAGTTTAAAGTGTCAGTAAGTAATAAGTACGTATATGATCTTAGTGAGGTTTATAAAGCTCTGTCAGAGATGGATCCCACTGTTCCTGGTGTAGGAGCTGCCCAGAATCCAGGCTGATTTCCAGCTTCCACCTGGAGGAAAACAACTTTAAATGCACCATTTGTGGCTTTCAGCAGACAGTTGCAAGTAGAGCCCAGAGGCAGATGCACACCTGAGAAGAAACCCTGTGGTGCCCTGGAGCAGACAGATCCCTGGGGAGCAGTCAGTACAGGGGCCATGTCCATCAGGCTTGTCCCAGTGCATGAGAATGAAAACTAGAGCTCAGCTGATCAAAACTCGGATCCTCCAGTGGAGATTTAGCAGCATATTGAGTAGTCGGGTGCTAAATGTGACATTCCTTTATATTAAGGGGATAACCACCAGTTGTGGCAATGGGCCTTTCTTCAGTTTTGTGTAGATGGCCTGTGCAGAGATTGACAGCTCAGAGGCCTCATGTGAGTAGCATGCACAGAGCATTAATTTTTGTGATGCTGTAACAGAAACTTAGGTAAAAAACTTACGATGCAATTTTGAACGATTTCTTCTGCTTCTCTTTTTTGTTTTTTGTTTGTTTGTTTTGTTTTGTTTTCTCCCCATTGAATTACTGTATTTCTGTAACACTTTCTCATCATGTTGATTGTCACTAAGCAAAAATCCATCTCCATGTTTAGCTGGACTTATACATTTCATGTGGTTATGTTCAGAGAATGCTTACATTTTCCTAGGAAGATGGTTTAGTGTAGTTTTATTCCTTTCCCTCACAAATGTCTTACCTAAGCAAAATAGAACACATCGCAAGCTTCTGCTTTAGAAGGTAAAGCAAATATGTACCTTCAAATTGAAGCATTTCTGCCACAATACTTTTTAGCTGGTTTAAAAAACATTTCAGAGACTACTCAAATATTAATTCTCCTAAGGACCTGAAAAGGCACCGATCTACTGAGAGCCAGTAACTCTGAGATAACTAAACAGATTTCCTGGAGGGGGAGGAAGCAACCAACCAACCCCCAAAACAGAGTAGGTCACTGAAGAGAAAACATTTTAAATTTTGCATTATTTCAACAGCTTTCTCATGGGGGTGGCTGTCTCTTGGGAAGGCCAGGACTGTTAGCAGGAATAGCAGGATGACAGATTGAAACCTAATGCTGAAGGGATGAGGACTGCCACAATCTGCTACGACATGTACGAGGAGTAGAATAACGTTCTTGCTCCCTCCTGCCCTCATCCATCCCACTCATTAATCTCGGTATGCCCTGGCTGCCTTTCCCACATCACAGAAGCAACTTAAGGCTCTTCCAACAAATGCAGCCTGATCAGGAATAGGAAAACAGAACTTCTTGTCCTTCCCCATACTGTCTTGATAAATTACTGTCTTGAAACTGAATTGTAAATAAATAAATGGAAAATTAATGGGTAATTCATATCCTCACTTGCTGTCTCTGAGTAACAAAATCCAAGTAAAAGAGCCACCAGAAGTGAAGGATGAACAGTAGTCATAAAATACAAGACCAAGATGTCATGTTAGGGAACGAAGTGTTAGTCTAGGATTCAATCAATGCAACTTGGAGCTCCTTCCTTCTTTCCCAGAACATTAAAAGCCTCAAAGAGATCCAGAGAACTAATATGAAGCACAAAAAGGGATGTCAAAAGAGACTGCAAATTTTTGACAGTGCCAATCAACAATAGGCATGGGAGGTTAATAGGGCAACTTGCAGGGCAGAATACCTCTTCTCAGTAAACTACACAGAGACATAAATACCTTAAGTGGATAATAATAAAAAAAAGTAACACCTACACATTTGAAGTTACCAGATGAAATGAAAGCAGAGCTATAGAAAAGATGTGTAAAAAAATTAATACTTAAGAACAAACGTGCCAAATGAGTGATTCTATGGATCTAGACAAATAGAGGGAAAACCACACTAATCACTAAAAAGGAAAAGATGCACGTTCTTAAATAGTGGGAGAAGTAATAGGCAGGGAAGAATATAGTTGTGCAAAAGCATTACTGAGCTCTCTTGTATTCTATTTGTGCTGTTACTCATAAAGGGGGGGGGGGGGAAGGCTGTACACCAATTTTGTTTATTTTCGCCTCAAACAGTAACTGAACTGATAAGCAATGTGCAAAGACAGTGACAAAGTGAGGAAACCCATCTGTCCTAAGAGCACCATTAAGGCTGATATGCAAAGATGATGTCTTCCCAATTTCTGTAGAACATAATAAAGAGCTATTAAAAAGGTTTATATAAACACTATAAAGCTGGCTATTTACACGTAAAAATAGTTATCAAAAAGTTGGCCAAACATAGCCTGAATGAAATAACATACATACTAAGAGGCTACAGAGAAAGACAAAAAAAATCCTCAAACGCTTCCTAAAGCTCTAAAGAAAAATATCTTCCTGGAAAAAAAAGGAGGAAAAAGGACAAACAATGACACAGGAAAAAAAGTATACAGAAAAAAACAACCAACCACAAAAGCCCCTCAACTAAGTCTTAGTATGAAAAGCTAAATTTACCCGAGCACCGACGCTACCACCCCTGTCCGCCGCCGCACACACCGCCCGTTCGCCACAATCCCCCCCCCCCGCCCAATCTCCTTTGTTTAAATGCCGCTAAATGGCGGCGGTGGAACGCGGGCGGGGCTGGGCGGTGCGGTACCGCGCGGGAGGGAAGCGGCGCTCCCGGCCCCACCGCCCCCATTGGCTGGATTTTGCTGCAGACCCGGGCCCCGCTCCCCCCACAGACCCCGAGCACCGCAGCGGCGGAGCTGGGCAGCTGGGCCGTGCGCACAGGGACGGAGCGTGTCCCCGTCCCGGGGGTTTGCTCCCGCGGCGCCCAGGCCGGCAGGAGGCAGGGTCGGCCGCCTCCCAGGGCCACGGCAGAGACCTGCATCGCACCACCCATCCCCTGTCGGAGGCGACGGCGCGAACGTCGCTGTCCGCCGGGGGAAGGGCGGGGACAAGAGCCCGCCCTTGCCCTGCCCCGTCGCAGTCCCCAACCAGGTCGGACTACTGGCAATATAGAGCCGCGCTGGAGCCTGTTCCCGCCACACGCCAGTTGAGTTGAGAAAGGTGAGGAGTATGTCTGGCAGAGGCAAAGGCGGAAAGGGGCTCGGCAAGGGTGGCGCTAAGCGGCACCGCAAAGTGCTGAGAGATAACATCCAGGGCATCACCAAGCCAGCGATCCGCCGCCTGGCTCGGCGTGGCGGCGTGAAACGCATCTCGGGGCTCATCTATGAGGAGACGCGCGGTGTGCTGAAAGTCTTCCTGGAGAACGTGATTCGTGACGCAGTCACCTATACGGAGCATGCTAAGAGGAAGACTGTCACAGCCATGGATGTGGTGTATGCTTTGAAGCGCCAGGGACGCACTCTCTACGGCTTCGGCGGCTAAACTCCATTTTTGGGACAGGTCACTTTTTCAGAACACAAAGGCTCTTTTCAGAGCCACCCACGCTTTCAAAAGAAGAGCTTGAATCACGCTTCGTGCCTAAGCTTTGTATTTCAGGACTGTAGTAAAATAACGGTGGCAGTGGGTGGTGTGATCTATGTTAGAGGCGGTAGGGGTGGGGTCTTTGTTCTCATCTCTAGTCCTTGTTCCAGATGGTCCTTTTAATGCTTAGTCTCAAGCAACAGGTAAGCGTGAAATCCGTGGTCTATAAACAGCGACCTTCTGCCGGGACTCCCTAGGCTCGGGAGAAACATTCATTTTCCCCAAAATCTACGTCTTTCATTCCCCATTCGTTCCCCCGTTTTCGTCCCCATCTCCTCCTCTTCCTTTGTAAAGGGAACGGAGGGGACAAGCCGGCGAAAAAAAGCTGGAATCCCCGGTCAAGCGCTATTGCGACAGCCGGTCTCCCGCCATCGGCTTCACCGCAGCAGCCTGAAATGGGAGCGCACGAAATGGCGGTGTTGCCCTCCCGCCCCGTATGGGGGACGGGATATGGCGGGAAGAAGAAACGAGAAACGGATACGACCGCCCGTCGCGCCCCATGGGCTGCAGCGGAAAGGGACGCTGAGCGAGAGCCTCCCTTTGCTCTGCTCCGACTGCAGGGCTTTCCTGTGCTCTGGAGCACTCCCCCGCCCTCGGCCTGCGCCGGCAGGTTATAAATGCGGAATCTCGGAACGTCAATACATAACGATCGGGTGGGGGCTGAGAGAAATATCCCACACTGAACCTCCGCCCCGTTATCCCACGATCAGCACTGCCTCGAGTACGGGAAATTGCGCTAGGCTTAGGCTGCCTATACCTGCTCCTAATACCAGAGACCCAGCTCTCTTTAGTGGCCATGTGGTGGCTCTTAAAAGAGCCTTTTCGGTTCGGGGGGATGGGGGCACGACAGGCACCTCAGGCGCGCTCGCCGCGGATGCGTCGCGCCAGCTGGATGTCCTTGGGCATGATGGTGACGCGCTTGGCGTGGATGGCGCACAGGTTGGTGTCCTCGAAGAGCCCCACCAGGTAGGCCTCGCTCGCCTCCTGCAGCGCCATCACGGCCGAGCTCTGGAAACGCAGGTCGGTCTTGAAGTCCTGCGCGATCTCACGCACCAGGCGCTGGAAGGGCAGCTTGCGGATCAGCAGCTCCGTCGACTTCTGGTAGCGCCGGATCTCGCGCAGCGCCACCGTGCCGGGACGGTACCGGTGCGGCTTCTTCACGCCGCCCGTGGCCGGCGCGCTCTTGCGGGCCGCCTTGGTGGCCAGCTGCTTGCGGGGCGCCTTCCCGCCTGTCGACTTACGCGCCGTCTGCTTTGTACGAGCCATAAAGCTATTTACTCTTCCGTACAATAGCTACAACCTAGCAGATAGAAGCTGAAATAAAGCGCACAGCGACTCCCTTTTATATCCAACCGCTGCTTGTTCATTGGCCGCTGGAAAGAGCCGAGTTCATTGGATAAATTTGAAAAGCCCGCATTAACCCCCTCTGTGCTGAACCGCGCTCCTCAATATTTGAGTCACAGATTCAGTCCTCTCGACTTCCGTTTCTTCGAAAACGCCATTGCTCTGCTTAATGACTTTATCTTAAGTTTGCCCCTCAAAAAATCGCTACCTCTTATAAAATTCCTGAAAGGAGTTTACTACAAGACATAGGGCCCCCCCGCCCTCCCCGTATTTTCACCTTATTAAAAAGATAATTTTTGCTTACAGGCTTACTTAGTAAATTCTAATTATGTAAAAAGCTCACCAGTTTTATTTTGACTTTCTACAACATTGAAATAAGTATTTCCTGAAGGAATCGAATTATTTACTTGCAATCCAAAACTAAAACTAACATACTACTAAGGTTCTTTAATCTCCGAAATTCATAGCAGTCATCATAACACATACTTAAAACATGTATGAGGTAAGAACAATTCATAGTGTCAAACATAAGGGGGAACAAAAAATATAGGAGTAACTACTGTAGAAATAAAACTTTTATGCAAGAAATCCTTAAAAGTTCATCATATTACTTTGAGAAATAAGGAAAAAAAAAGGGGTATGCCTTGTGTAACGAGTTGGAGCTCTGCGGCTTCAGTCACCTCCGCGGTTACCCAATGAAAAACTTCTCGTCGACCAATCAGAGATGAGGGGCGTGCCAGACCCCGTATAAATAGAAGTCGCACAATGTGCAAGTCTTGTGTTTTCACTTTTTGAGCTGGGGAGTCTTAATGGCGCGGACAAAGCAGACGGCGCGTAAATCGACAGGCGGGAAGGCGCCCCGCAAGCAGCTGGCCACTAAGGCGGCCCGCAAGAGCGCGCCGGCCACGGGCGGTGTGAAGAAGCCGCACCGGTACCGTCCCGGCACGGTGGCGCTGCGCGAGATCCGGCGCTACCAGAAGTCGACGGAGCTGCTGATCCGCAAGCTGCCCTTCCAGCGCCTGGTGCGTGAGATCGCGCAGGACTTCAAGACCGACCTGCGTTTCCAGAGCTCGGCCGTGATGGCGCTGCAGGAGGCGAGCGAGGCCTACCTGGTGGGGCTGTTCGAGGACACCAACCTGTGCGCCATCCACGCCAAGCGCGTCACCATCATGCCCAAGGACATCCAGCTGGCGCGACGCATCCGCGGCGAGCGCGCCTGAGGTGCCTGTCGTGCCCCCATCCCCCCCGAACCGAAAAGGCTCTTTTAAGAGCCACCACATGGCCACTAAAGAGAGCTGGGTCTCTGATATTAGAAGCAGGTATAGGCAGCCTAAGCCGAACGCAATTTCCCGTACTCGAGGCAGTGCTGATCGTGGGATAACGGGGCGGGAGGTTCAGTGTGGGATATTTCTCTCAGCCCCCACCCGATCGTTACGTATTGACGTTCCGAGATTCCTCATTTATAACCTGCCGGCGCAGGCCGAGGGCGGGGGAGTGCTCCAGAGCACAGGAAAGCCCTGCAGTCGGAGGAGCAGAGCAAAGGGAGGCTCTCTCTCGCTCGGCGTCCCTTTCCGCTGCAGCCCATGGGGCGGGACGGGCGGTCGTATCCGTTTCTCGTTTCTTCTTCCCGCCATATCCCGTCACCCATACGGGGCGGGGGTGGGCGGGAGAGCAACACCGCCATTTCGTGCGCTCCCATTTCAGGCTGCTGCGGTGAAGCCGATGGCGGGAGACCGGCTGTCGCAATAGCGCTTGACCGGGGATTCCGGCTTTTTTTTCGCCGGCTTGTCCCCTCCGTTCTCTTTACAAAGGAAGAGGAGGAGACCGGGACGAAAACGGGGGAAAGGAGTGGGGAATGAAAGACGTAGATTTTTGGGAAAATGAATGTTTCTCCCGAGCCTAGGGAGTCCCGGCAGAAAGTCGCTGTTTATAGACCACGGATTTCACGCTTACCTGTTACTTGAGACTAAGCATTAAAAGGACCATCTGGAACAAGGACTAGAGATGAGAACAAAGACCCCACCCCCACCGCCTCTAACATAGATCACACCACCCACTGCCACCGTTATTTTACTACAGTCCTGAAATACAAAGCTTAGGCACGAAGCGTGATTCAAGCTCTTCTTTTGAAAGCGTGGGTGGCTCTAAAAAGAGCCTTTGAGTTCTGAAAAAGTGACCTGTCCCAAATGGAGTTTAGCCGCCGAAGCCGTAGAGAGTGCGTCCCTGGCGCTTCAAAGCATACACCACATCCATGGCTGTGACAGTCTTCCTCTTAGCATGCTCCGTATAGGTGACTGCGTCACGAATCACGTTCTCCAGGAAGACTTTCAGCACACCGCGCGTCTCCTCATAGATGAGCCCCGAGATGCGTTTCACGCCGCCACGCCGAGCCAGGCGGCGGATCGCTGGCTTGGTGATGCCCTGGATGTTATCTCTCAGCACTTTGCGGTGCCGCTTAGCGCCACCCTTGCCGAGCCCCTTTCCGCCTTTGCCTCTGCCAGACATACTCCTCACCTTTCTCAACTCAACTGGCGTGTGGCGGGAACAGGCTCCAGCGCGGCTCTATATTGCCAGTAGTCCGACCTGGTTGGGGACTGCGACGGGGCAGGGCAAGGGCGGGCTCTTGTCCCCGCCCTTCCCCCGGCGGACAGCGACGTTCGCGCCGTCGCCTCCGACAGGGGATGGGTGGTGCGATGCAGGTCTCTGCCGTGGCCCTGGGAGGCGGCCGACCCTGCCTCCTGCCGGCCTGGGCGCCGCGGGAGCAAACCCCCGGGACGGGGACACGCTCCGTCCCTGTGCGCACGGCCCAGCTGCCCAGCTCCGCCGCTGCGGTGCTCGGGGTCTGTGGGGTGAGCGAGGCTCGGGTCTGCAGCAAAATCCAGCCAATGGGGGCGGTGGGGCCGGGAGCGCCGCTTCCCTCCCGCGCGGTACCGCACCGCCCAGCCCCGCCTGCGTTCCACCGCCGCCATTTCGCGGCGTTTAAACAAAGGAGATTAGGCGGGGGGGGGATTGTGGCGAACGGGCGGTGTGTGCGGCTGCGGACAGGGGTGGTAGCGTCGGTGCTCGGGTAAATTTAGCTTTTCATACTAGAAATTTAGGCATCGTTATTAATCCCCCTTCCCCCCCCCCCCGTTATGACACTAGGGGGTGAAGTCATTTGCATTTCCTGTATTCCTGTCTTAATGACCACACGCCTGTTTTGTGTTTATGGGACTGAGGTGCTGATAAAGGAACTGATTTGAGTGTCTTGTGAATATACCCATGTAATAAATCGATTTTGTTCCATGTGTTTTTATATGTGTGGCATGTGTTTTTTCATTTTCATGTTTTTACGTTTTATTTATGTGTTATTCCTCGAAGTTTTAATTTCACCTTTCCTTTTTATTCTGGACATAAATTTTGTTGTTTTTTTTTAATACATAATTGGGTGTTTTTATTAGCTATAGTACTGTAGCCGTATTCATACGGAGGGTAACCTTTTTAACAAGTTGTGTCAGTCATCTTCAGGCATCATATGTGCCCGAACTTTACTTATTTTGGAAATGCATAGCAATTTCTTTCCCCTCCCCCCCTTTTCATCTTGTGGGTTTTTCAGTGCAGTTATTTCATGCTGCAGAAATGTAACCTGTATATTTATTGCTTCTTTAAGCAGTTATGATGCCTTCAGATAGCAGTGACACTCAAGAATTTACGAAGGTAGAAAACTTGCAGCTATAGATGTGAAGACATGCAACATGTAACAGGATTGTTCTTAATATTTTAGTCTCAACAACTGAAAGTCCTATAGTAGCTACCTATAACCTTTAAACTCAAATTCTCTAATGCAGTTATAATACATACCATGCACCATAATAATCACAATTGCTATACAGCTGCACCTCATCATTAATATATTTGTAATGCTCCCTAATGCTTATGCGCTCAGTGCCTTCTGTTGAAGGTGTATTGTTTTGTAACTTTTCCTGGGGCTTCTCCTTCATTGTCTTCTCCGTACACCATACAGAGGAGCACACCATTCTAAAGGAAAATGGTGTTCAGAAACCAATGTAAGTCTCCAACACTTGTGCTACTACACTTAAAAAATCTACCTTGTTATCTCTGCTTGTTTGCTTTGGTTCATGTTTTTTATTGGTTTGTTTCTCAGGAGCTTTTGACATTGGCAATGTGTACTCTGTAAGCCCAAGATTATACACAGGCTTCTGGCTTTCCCTCATCAGCTAAGTTGTCCTCCAGCATGTCTGGCTAAAGAGGCTGCAGAAGGTAAATTGTTAAAGCCAAGATGATATTCAGAAACATTTTTTTTCTTGAAGTCCATTTAGGTAGTAAGAAAAGAACAGAAAAGAATTATCTTTCTGACCTGAGGTTTCAGAATAGGAAAGGGCATTTTTTAGGAAAATCTATGCAGACCTTACTCAGGAGCTCTTGTGGCAGAATACTAGCAGCAGCTTTGCCTTTATGTCTTACCAGTGCCACCTATGAACTTCCAGTTGGAGCAGTTACCTGAACAGAAGACAGCTGAGACCCTGTAGCACAATGTGCTCACCCGGCAGAGGGACACTAACCAGGAGAGAGTCCCACAGTTCATACTGATTGGTAATGTGTAATAGGCTGGTGACTTCTTCAAGTTCTAACATCCTTGAGTTGTTCTGGAACTGTTCTTGAAGCCTTTTCTCTATTCCCTCCCATCAGACTTCAGTTTCCTGACTCTGAAGGATTATTTCTTTTCGATACTTCAAAGCTTTGGTTAATCACTAGAAATTCTATTGTTAATGAAGTGAGATAGATGATGGACGGTGACTTGCTTTAGTGAACATGGTTTTTCTTAGACTGCAGAGGGGAATATGAATATCTAGATTCTTTTTTCATAAATCACAGAAACATTGAATGGTGTGGGTTGGAAAGGACCTTAAAATCATCCAGTTCCATGGGCAGGGACGCCTCACACTAGACCATGCCGTCCAAGGCTCTGTCCAACCTGGACTTCAACGCTGCCAGGGATGGAGCATTTAGCACTTCTTTGGGCAGCCTGTTCTAGTGCCTCACCACCCTCACAGTAAAGAACTTCTTCCTTATATCTAACATGAACTTCCCCTGTTTCAGTTTGAACCCATCACCCCTTGTCCTGTTGCTACAGTCCCTAATGAAAAGTCCCTCTCCAACATCCTTGTAGGCCCCCTTCAGATACTGGAATTGTGTAGAAACTCAGTTCATCTTTCTTCATTGGTTAGGCTTCCACAATCAGTTCTTTCCTGGAATTTGAGTTCCCTTTATAAATATCTTCTAACCCTCTTTTCACTCCTCTTCCCAATTCTTCAGCACTCTCCAGTATCTCTTCATGAAAGGGCAGCACACGCAGCCACATTGTTCCTACACCAGGAATGGCTGTCCTTCAGTTATTATTCAGCTGTTGGGTTTGGGGGGGTGTCACTGGGGTTTTGTTGTGTGTTTGTTGTTTTTTTTAAACAGATTTCTTAGTTGCTCAGTTCACAGTAGCTGCCTTCCCTCAATGAAGGCTCTAACCTGAATTTCCTTCTATTCTGTAGCTGATGTTTACAAAACTGGTTAGATTCTCCAAGACATGGATCAATTACAATTTTTGTTGGAGGTGATCAGCAGACTTTAAAGAATTAACATGGTAAAGAGGGTATTTGCAGAAGCTGTTTTTTTTTTAGTGGGGGAGGGTGGATTGATTTGTTTTTAATACCCTTGCTTTCTGGACCTATTCACTTAACATTGCTGAGATTGCCTGGTGATACTCTACATTTTGTCTTCCAGAGCAGTGTAACAAGAGCAATAGTCTTCATCTGCTAGTGTGGAACCAAAACTGGAAATCCTACACACATTGTTCTGGAGTGCCATGTCATGTCATGGAGCTTCACAGAAGCTCAAGAGAACACTCCTTACCAGGCAGATGTGTTATCAGCGAACTGCATTTCCAAATAATGTTTATGCCAAAAGAAAGCCATCAGGTTCACAGCATATGTGAGGGGTTAAATGTTTAAAGATGGGCTACTCTGGCTTCTTTTCTTGCTTCACTGAGAGAGAACTACTCTTCTTCACTTGAAAAAGCAGATACAGCTCCCTCTAATCTTACCAGATTTTCTCCAAGCTGATGGAGCTGCTAAAGACATCTGTGGGGGAAGCAGGGCAAATGAAGGTGGATGAGCAATTATCCCATCCCTGATTTGATGAGAGGGAGCGGGGTTGGCATGAGGGAGGCAGATATTAAATCAGAGAGCTGCAGCATCATAAAGGCAGCATGAAGCTGCTCTTCCCACATGGGTAGCTGCTTTTGTTTCCCCATTTTAGGTGTTAGCGCAGCAGAAGCATTTCCAAGCAAGCTTTATTGGGAAAGAGAAAGGCCCCATTTTTTCCTCTCCTGCCTCTCTTTCATCAGAGAGCACTATTTTGGACATAAACTGGAAATCTTTCTGCATCCAGAATTTTGCCCAGCAGGCAGGATAAAAGTAAAAAAAAAAAAAAAAAAAAACACAAAACAAACCAAACCAGAAGCAAACCCAGTCTGTAAGGTGATAGATCTTTTTATTGTTTGAACCAGTATCCAGGCTCTCCCTACTCTTATAAATATCCTTAATTGATCAGTCAATTTTGTTGTGATTTTAGCAGTCTCACCTGCTTTAAAGTATTTACCTGTGCTTCTTGTATAGGACCATGCCATCCATCTCAACGGATACCAAGGTCTAGACTTTAAAAGGCCCTTAGGAGTTCCAAAAGGAAATAGCATTATTATAGCACTGGCTATTTGATACCATTTTATGCAGTTCTAGCTTAATTCAAGCACAAATTAACTTGATCCCATTGAAAGTGGCTTATAGAACTGTGATGTATTGATGAATGAACCTATAATTATCATTTATAATGTGGCTGCATTTTAATATAAAACCCCCAAAACTAGCACATCAGAATTCCTAATGCCATTAAATAATTTTAGTATATTTAAAATATGTATATTTTCCTCTTGCTTAATGTAGTTAAAGGTGCAAGAAAGCAGCTTGAATTTCTGATTCATGATAAATTAAAAATGCAGTTGAAAATCCACAGTTAATGACTAGGATTATCTCAGGTTTGACATAAAACACATTCATCCAATATGCATTGCATCTCAAAAGAAATCCACATTCTTTCAAGTTACAAAGTAAATCATTTAAAATCCTGACAGACAAGCCATACCCTGTGGACCCAAAAGAATTATTTTCCTAAGCTATTAACGATGCTTAGTGTTCCAGATCCTCTGCATGATTTTCTGGTTGTTTTTTTGCCCTTTAAACTTGTGGTCATTACAAGCACAAGTTACTACATGAAGTATGCAGATATACCACTTCTTAAAGGGAAAAAACAGCAATCAACCAACCCAAAAGAGTATCGAAATCCCTTTTAAATTTCTCTAAGGTGTTTTTTTTTTTTCCCTGGATGGAGTGCGGATAACCATGTCCCACACTGCTCGCACAAAGCCGCAGAAGCAGCTGCCACAGGAGGGGCTAGAGCCCGGGAGAGAGGGGGGGCCAGGCAGCCGCTGCCGAGCTTCGCTACCAACCTTGAGATTGAAAGAATTCATTGCGATTGGCTGGTCGGATCCGCACTATCAACCAATAACAGCGTGGTATTTAAAAAGGACAAATTGCAAAGCCGTTCGTAAGAGAGGTGACGCCACCTGAGCTGCTATCCAATAGAAGCGCTTATCCCTGAAGCCAAGTATTTGCATAAGGGACCTATAAATAAGGGAGTGCGCACACTGCCGAGCATTCTGTTGCTTGCGGGTGACTTGAGAACTGTCGCAATGCCTGAGCCGGCTAAGTCTGCTCCTGCGCCTAAGAAGGGCTCTAAGAAAGCTGTAACCAAAACCCAGAAGAAGGGGGACAAGAAGCGAAAGAAGAGCCGCAAAGAGAGTTATTCTATCTACGTGTACAAGGTACTAAAGCAGGTGCATCCCGACACGGGCATCTCGTCTAAGGCCATGGGCATCATGAACTCCTTCGTCAATGACATCTTCGAGCGTATCGCCGGTGAAGCCTCGCGCCTAGCGCACTACAACAAGCGCTCCACCATCACTTCTCGGGAGATCCAGACGGCTGTCCGGCTGCTGCTGCCGGGTGAGCTGGCCAAGCATGCAGTCTCTGAGGGCACCAAAGCTGTAACTAAATATACTAGCTCTAAATAGAATATCACAAACCAGCAGTTTTAACCCAAAGGCTCTTTTAAGAGCCACCAATTTTTTCAAGTAGAAGGGCTGAATTGCTGTTGATTTTAGGAGCTGCAAAAGTAAACCTGATCATTTGTATGTCACCAGTGAAGTGCTTTTTCAGGTAAGTGAATTGAAGCTATTTAATTTCTGATAGCGGAGAATTTTTAATTTGCAGCCCGCATCCGGCATAAAGGGCCGTTTAAAACTTGAGCACGCAACACTAGCTGGTTTTCACTGTGGCGAAAAAGCAGCAGCCAACTGTGCCCCAGTGCTTTGGCAGCTCGCTCGGTTTCCAGAACTTAGGAGTCCCGTGGAGAAGATAGTTGGGCTTTTTATTTTAGAAGAGCTTGAATTCCTCTTAGTATGTCCGGTAGAAAATTCTGCTAAGAACTTGCACTATGCCTGTAAAATAATAATTAAAAACTATTTCTGTCTCTTTCAGTGAATAATAAATCTTTTGAAACCAAGTCTTCCAGGTGCGTTTGTAGCTTGGTTTCACTTTAAGTATGTTTTAAGCGCGGGTCTAATTCTCCCTCTCCACCATTGCCCCCACACACATCCCCTTTCCCCCGCAATACTCTCTTTTTCCAGTGAGGTAGCTGCCATACTTGATTAAGTAGAATTTTTCTTTACGAAAGGTTTTCCGGTTTAAAACAGCGATGGCCAAATGTGTGCAGGAGTTAATTCACTGTGAATCGGCGTGAAGCCGGGGCTGTCAGTGATGTGCAGAGACTTGGGGTCAGACAGCTGCGTTCGACTGTCCCGCCGCACTCACTGTGAAAGTGCAGCTTTGCCCGCAGAAACTGTAGGGTGAAAGCAGAACGGGAGCACTACGCACGCGTTTTCCATATCCCTTATCTATCCCGTTTTGCCACAGAGCCCCCAGGAAGGCGGCCCGTGCGGCGCCGCGCGTAACCGAGCATGGGGGAAGTGTGCGTGTGGGGTCACCGCCTTAAGAGGCGGGGCTTGACATCAACGGGGTTTGGCCGAGTGGGCAAAAGGGACCAATCCCGTCCCCGCGCGGGACACTTAAGCCTTCCCCCGGCTCCGCAGCGGAGGGCCGTGAGCTAGGGCTGGTGCCGGCCTCGTTGAACTCCGGGAGGGCGGAGCGCTTAGCGCTCGCCGGGCTCCTGAATTGTACGTAGGAAGCAAGACTTCCTTTTCAAGTTAGCTCTGGTCTCCCATGCAGGCTGCGCAGGCCGCCCGCCTTTCGGAAACGGTAACTTTCTTAATCTAGTATAAACCCCTGCCAACCCCTTTTCAAGATTTGGTTGTGCTGCTGCGATTACTGTACCGTTCCCCTTTTCAAGATTTGGTCGCGCTGCTGCGATTACTGTAGCGTTACAGCTCTTTTTAAGTTCAAGTGGGTGGCTCTTAAAAGAGCCTTTGGGTTTATTTAAATGAGTAGACTATTATTTCTCAGTCTTTTTACTTCTTTTTGGGCGCCGCCTTCTTTGCCTTGGCAGCTTTGGGCTTGGCTGCTTTAGGTTTGGCTGCTTTGGGCTTCACCGCCTTGGTTTTAGCCGGACTCTTTGCTGCTTTCTTCGGGCGACCTGCTTTGGCAGCCTTCTTAGGACTTTTAGTAGCTTTCTTGGCAGCAGCAGCCACCGGCTTCTTCGCTTTTTTGGGACTTTTCTTCACTGCTACAGCTTTCTTGGGCTTCTTGGCAGCGCTGGCGGGCTTCTTGGCTGCCGGCTTCTTGGGCTTGGCTGCCGGCTTTTTCTTAGTTGCTTTCTCCTTTGTCTCGCCTGGTTTCTTATTGAGCTTAAAAGAACCAGAAGCACCGGTGCCCTTAGTCTGCACCAGGGTACCTTTGTTGACGAGGCTTTTGAGCCCCAGCTTGATGCGGCTGTTGTTCTTCTCTACATCGTAGCCACCAGCGGCCAGCGCCTTCTTGAGCGCGGCGAGGGAGAGCCCCTTGCGTTCCTTGGAGGCGGACACAGCCTTGGTGATCAGCTCGGTGACGCTGGGGCCCGCGGGCTTCCGGGCTTTGGAGCCGCCCGCCGCCTTCTTCGACTTCTTGGCGGCGGCCTTAGCACCAGGAGCAGACACAGCGGGGGCGGCGACGGGCGCGGTCTCCGACATGGCTGCAGCAGTCGTCCACGGATCGGGGGAAACCACTGGGCCTGAAGCGGGTCCGAGGCCTCATATTTATAGGGAGGGGCTGCGCGGTGATTGGTGCTCTGAAGTGCCCGCCCCGCCGCCCGGCGGAAAGCTCCCGTCTCCCCTCTCATTTTGTGTTTCTTAGGAGGCAAAAAAGCCGGGTTTTATCCAAATTTCGGTCATGCACCCCCCTCGGTTCGCAGCACCGTGGAAAAGAAAGACTGTTGTTCCCCTCGGCGAAGTTTCTCTTCGGAGAGGCAACGGGTGAGTTAAAAAAGAGGCGATAAACCCCGAGTCCTGGACCCGGAGAGACCTCGGGAGGCAGAAACTTTTGTTTTTCCTTCTAAATAAAAGCCGCGAAGTGGTCACCTAAACTTCCAAAGTAATTAATTGTTATTCTTTAAAGGGTCTTCTCTTAATCTGAACTGAAAACAGGACATTTGAACGGATATTTTAAGCACAAATTGGTTTCAAAGAGGAGGAAGTAACACAGGTTCATCTTGAGCACTGAATATGGATTAGAAATTAGCTCCTTTGTCCCAAATCCTTTACCCCTTTCAAAATAATTTAAATAAATCCAATTAGTGCATGATGCAGCAGGGCAAGAAGGAGGTGAACGTTCGGTGAGGGGCTGTTTGTATCCTAGAAGGGAATGACTTTTTTACAGCATAGCAGCCTGTGCTGTCTTGCTCAGTGTGCACACAATGCAGGCACCATTCCCGAATGCTCTGCTACTAAAATATTTATTTTCCTAATAAATTAGGTGACAGAAGAGCTTAACACGGACAGGTTTTGTTAATAATTATAATCAGCACCCTGTCACTTCATGATTTGGCGGTGGTTTCTTTTCTGACACTGCTTGATTGGTGAAAAATCTGAGTCAACATTATCTCAGGAGACACGACTGCAGCTGAGTGTTTCCCAACTTCTGCACAACAAAACTCGCTCCCGTTATCGTCTTGGACTCCACTTTTGTGGCAGATTGTGAAATATTTGGTGATGTTTTGGTTTTGCTTTTGCTTTTGTTGTGGGGTTTTATTTTTTTGTTTGTTTGTTTGTTGTTTTTTTTTATATATATACTCTTCAATGACAGATTCCTGCACTGGGAGTAATATGAAAACAATATATAAGGCTAACATACGTGCTGTGCTGAAACAGCTGGCTGTGAGCAAGAGGGGGAAGTCCTCCCCTGCACTTTACCAAGACCACATGTAAACAGGTTAAAACTAAAAGTATCTTATTTTTCAAAGTACAGAGAGTTGAAAGGAATATCCCCTGATATTTTCCTTATTGCCTACAACCCTTTGTTTTGCCATAGGCCTGTAAACTGCTTGTTACCTCTTGGCATTGTGACTGTCAGTGGTACTAAAATGTTGCATGGTGTTATGATTAAAAGTCTTCAAATCGATCATTATTAAAACATGTTTGTTGACCTATAATCACCAATTTTCTGTTTCTATTTTAACATCTGTATGGTGGTGTTCAGCACTATAGGTAAGGTAGAATCAGAACTGGGAACAGTCCTGTTTACCTCAAATTGCCCATCCCAAAATTGCCAATTATTCCAAAACCCACTCAGATTTCAGTTTCAGCAGCTCAGGCAGAGCTGTGAGAAAACTGTATGAAAAATTACTAATTCAGAATGCCTGTTGGTATGAAAACCTGTAGGTCAAAGAGTTATTAGAAGGCTTTTAAAGATGTTGGTGAGTTACTTCAATTCCACCCAGCCTCAGAAAGGACAAGGCCGGGGGGGGGGGCAATTTCCTTGCAACATCAACTTTGGGACTTTGTCCCCGAGAGCAAAACAATTCATTCCACATGGAATCTTATTTTTAGTGTTTACCAGCAATTAACATGTTCCATTTTACTGAATTAATGTTACAACAGGTTTTGTTCTAAATTGAAAAATCGAATTTTCAAGAACTTGGACTTTACAAATTTGGGGGTGTTTGTGTGGGTTTGTTTTTTTAGTTAGAATGTACAGCTCCTTTTATGAGAAAGTGGGTGGCTCTAAAAAGAGCCTTTGTGTTAACTTTTGAAGTGGGAGCCTTCCTCAGTTTTTACTTGCTTTTTGCCTTATGGCTGTCGGTCTTCTTGGGCAGCAGCACAGCCTGAATATTGGGCAGCACACCACCCTGCGCGATCGTCACCTTGCCCAGCAGCTTGTTGAGCTCCTCGTCGTTGCGGATGGCGAGCTGCAGGTGCCGCGGGATGATGCGAGTCTTCTTGTTGTCACGAGCTGCGTTGCCCGCCAGCTCCAGGATCTCAGCCGTCAGGTACTCCAGTACGGCTGCCAGGTACACGGGGGCGCCGGCGCCCACCCGTTCCGCGTAGTTGCCCTTCCGCAGTAAACGGTGAACGCGGCCCACAGGGAACTGCAAGCCAGCTCGCGACGATCGTGACTTAGCCTTGGCACGCGCCTTCCCGCCTTGCTTTCCACGCCCAGACATCACTCTTAGCTCTCCTCCGCTGCTTCCAGCTGAACTGACACGAAACACCACTTGTTATGGCCCCCCTTTTCCGCGCCCGGCCTCTTTTATACCTTCCCCGGGCGCCCGGGCCTGCTTTCTCATTGGTTGCCACACGCTCCCTCTGGCTACTACCAATGGCGCTGCGGATCCAAATCCACCCAATCAGAGAGCGGCCCTCCCCGCCGTGTTACCCCCGCCCTCCAGCAAATGAAGGGAGGGGATTGGGGGGGGCCCTGGAGGGGTGCTTCTGGAGTAGCGGCGGGGTGGGTGCAAGCTCCGGTTCCGCGTACGGCAGCCACCTCTGACCCCTAGCAGTGACCCAGGAATTCATCTTACAGGGAAACGTATGCCTGAGGAGCTGACCCCCAGGAACAGGGGGAGCCCCTTGCTAGTGCCATTGCTGTTGTCTTAGAACCCTGTATTTAGAACCTAAAAAATGCTACTACAGGATTATTTATTATCATGAAGAAATGCTTGTATCAGTAGGCACATTTGCAGCCTAGCACTACTGATATCTGCAGAAACCAGGCAGGAACACATAACAGGAATTTTCTCTGCTCCAGGATAAAATTACTCAACTGTTACTGCAATTAAACTAATACAGTATTATTTTCAGGGCCATTCTGCAGAACACTAGAAATTACTCAAACTGGAGAATACTCCACTATACAAATAAGCTGAAGTGACTTTAAGATCAAATATTTGGTATATCTGTCCCTATTTTACACCAGGATTCCTGTTTGGTTTTTTTTCCTTTACTCGAATTACCCAGTTTCTCTTTAGTCCCTGACATCTTTTCCTCTTCTTCTGTATTTTGAGCAATGGCAGATACTATCCTTGTTCCAAGCAATGAAGGAGTCTGCACGCTGGACTATGCCACATCATTTTGCTACCCCAGTGTTGCACAGCAGTCTTTTCCTCCATTCTGCCCTGTTCCCTAAATTCCAGTTCTGTGACTTCTTTTGTTCCCTTCTTCATTCACTGATGCTTTTGGACTGTAACTCATGGTTCTTTTTTATAATGCATCCCAGGTCCCATTACATGGGTATCATAAAATTACAGTGAAGGGAGCAGTGTGTGTGCCAGACTATGCTTGGTTACCCTTGGATATGAACACTGGCATGGTTCAGGGAAAGACAGAGATATGACTGCTACACAGCCATTCATGATGGCCTAGCAAAGAAAAAAAAAAAGAAGAAAAACCACCAAAAAAAACCCCAAACAAAATAAAACAACCCACAAAACCAAAAAACCCAAACAACCAAGGAAAAAAAACAAAACCACACCCAAAACCCCAAACAAACACACAAACAAAATGAAACCCACCCAAAGCAATCAAACAAACAAAAAACATTTCATCTAAACTATGCCCCACAGAGCAAGAAAGAGTCACATCCTTCTTTCCAGAAGGGTACAGTAATAGGAATTCTGGTCTAAACTGTTCAGGATTATAAACAAGGAAAAATAAACATGTCATAGTGCACACAAAGTACTGTCACACTTTTAATAATGCATGGATAAATGGAAAAAAATAATCTTGATATTGCAAGTATTGCCAGTTTAGCTATGAAAACTCTTTGTCATAATTTCTGATGCTGGGGGAGAAAAGGTTGGCAGCAGTCTTTCAAGATGGATTTGGTGTTTCTGCCATGGCACATCATTCATGTGGATGATGAAGAACCAGACATTTACTTCACCAAGTTGTATGCCCTAAGATGGATAAGCCATTTCCTCAGCTTGCGCTAATCAGCACAGTTTGAATTCTCAGTTGTAAGGTTAGAATCTCAACACCTGTAATGATGTAAATCTACCTCCACTGATTTTCAGGCATATTTAGAGCTCAGATCTGTCACCTTGTGAGCATGTGGTTTGGTCACCAAGTTGTCACACAGAAGATGGGCACCGCTGCTGTTCCTCTCTCCCTTTAGTCTTAGATTATGGCTCCGCTCAGAGCAAAGCCACTGGCAGGTGAGCACTGGCTTTAAAGACTCCATTAATTTCTTGAAAGAAAAATGAAATAGTAAAAATTTTGACAGTCCATAAAAATGTAGCCCAGCAGTCCCATAGATTTTAGTCCAAATAGGACTGCAGGACTATGTCCTAATTGGGAAAAAGCTGCCTGTGATTCATAGGAAGAGGAGGAGGAAGTTGCACAGTTAGGTGAGTTGGCAGCACAGAAGTTTTTGCCTGCTTCTGAGCATCACAAGTAGCTACTCTTAAGCATTGTGTTTCCTGTCTATACAGGCAATCATTTCACTTCTTGCTGTGACTGCAATAAATACATTCCAGAACTGATTGTGTTCAGCACCTGAGTGCACAAATTGAAGTCAGGGCATCCACACATCGCATTGCTTTGATAAAAGGGACAGGAAGATCTTACATCTTTGTGCTCCTTCCACTTAGAACTGTATCAAAGGCAAGAAAGAAAAAAAATAAAAATAAATCACCCACATGGGCATAGCTGAAGAGAAACCACAGCTCTGGTGATTCAGATGAGTTATCAGCCCCACATGCAACTTTTCTACACACATAATCACAGGTAGCCATACAGCTCCCAACTTCATGTATTCATCCAAAACCACAACAGAATGTGAGAAGCCTCCTGTACAAGAGCCACAGAAGACAGTGGGCACCCTGGCCTTGGATTCTTTCCATTAAAAACAAAACAAAACCCAAATCCAGCTGTTTCATTGTCAAATCCAGCTCTTCCATGTGGCCACAAAGCCTATTCCAGGACTACTCTCTCATACACCTCCCTTCTCCACAACCCCTTAAAGGCATCTTAGAGGTCTACCAGTAACCACTCACCTGTTTTACACCCCCCCTTCACCTTTCAGCCCAGACAGGATAAGGAAATGCCCTTTCTGATATGTACAGTCCTTCTGCACCACAGTTCATATTTTTAGCCATTTTAAAGTTGTAGCAAATTCAAATCCATTTGTCTCCATCTGAAAACGATAGGTAAAAACACACACACACACACGTGTTCTCTCTATCCCAACACAAGAAAAGGTGGCTCAGCTATGTGAGAATATGGCAAAAGGAACATAAATAAACCAAGGCTCAGAAGTACCACAATGACGCTCCTTCTCCAAAAAATCACCATTCACATGTTTCACTTGAAGACAAAAATGTCTTAAAAGAAAAAAAAGCTGAAATATAAAGAAATATAGCTAAAGATTTATGATACTACTAACACAAGTGCAATTAACGCCTGAATCAGAGAAAGAACTGTTATACAAACCTGTTTGCGTTCAGAATTAATGAAAAACAGATTTGAAATTTTCAAGTGTAAGTTCAGGTAGATAATAATTCTGTTTCCTCAAAACACATTTAACTTCAAAACAGTGAGTACTCAGCTAAGTCTGAGACAGCCAACTAAAGGTATTGTTTAAGGTATCTGTTGGTCTGGCTGCTTGGTATAAACTCCCTTCATTAAAAATCTAAAACTCCGCAAATCCAGAAATATTCATCTAGAAATTGGTACGTTAGAGGTCTCACTCTTGAAAATGTTAAGAATCTCTCAAGTTCTTCAGCAGGAACAATGCAGAGCTTTCTCAATTTCTTCTATGCTGTATCATACTTATGACACTACTAGTACGTTTTGTGCTCAAATTCAGTGTTCCAGACAAAACTTTGCATATTTGCATCTATTATTTATAATGCAGCTACTGCTTTTCTTTTCTGAGGTTCAGAATTCCTCTATCTTCCCCCAAGGCCAGCAAAGAACCTCCCCCCATTTCCATTCACATGCTAGCTTTAAACAAATCACAACGAAAACAGTATTTTAATACACTGAACATTTATTGTCTTTCAGAAGACAAAATGAAGTCTCCCCAGCTGATGAAAGCCATCAAGATGACCATAAAGGGGATAGGGTGCAAAATTCCAGTGTACAGTATATGCAACAAGTTACCTCCCTGACTGCCCTGGAAGAAAGATGATTGATCAATCTCACTGCAACTAAAAAACAGGATTATAAAATATTTACAGAAAGGAACAGTACAGAAAATAAAAACTGGACAACCATATGTGTATGAAATGCTGCTAACACTTTCCTGTCTCTTTAAAAACCTGTTTCACTACCCTCACCAGAGCATTCAGGATGTGAAAGGGTTCAGGCAGAGCATAGTAACCCCCTACTCCCACACCTCCCTCCCCAGAGGGCCATTATTCCCCTCCAAGGAAGGGGGAGGACTTAAAGGAAGCAGCATCACCACCTTTACTGTGATTTCCTTCCACCAACTGGACATGCTAGCTCCTGAAAGGAGGTCCCCAGCCACACCTCATCTGCAGCGGTCTCTGTCCAGAGCATACTGGCAAGTTAACCTATGGGTAACTATTAACAGGCAAATATTCCCTGTAATGTTAGCCCTTTCATTGCTTGAAGGAGAAGTTTTCCTTCTCCTTCCTGGTCTGATCTGTGTTCAGAGGGGCAGGAAAGCCAAGTAGGACTACAACATGTCACAGGAGACCCTCCATTTCCTTCATGAAGGCTTCATACACATCATCCTTTGTCTGTACAGAGATCGGGGCAGATGATCCAGCCTTAGGGGCAGCTTTGGTTAATGGAAGAGCAGGCTCATCATCCTGTTTTCTCTGGGAGGCAGCCGAAGCCCCTTTATTCTCCCGACGCACTCGCAAGGCAGTGGGCACAAAGCGAGTGATCTCAGCCTTGGGGTTAGTGATCTGCGGCTTGGCACTGATAGTGGCCGTAGCTTTCTTCTCAATGGTGGCTGCACTGGTGTCATCCACCTTGGGGCGCTGAATCAAGCTGGGTGGGGCACTCAGAACCCCAGGATTTGGAATAGGAGCTGGTGGAAAGAGCCCAGGCGGGGCAGGTCCTAAGGGAGGCACCAGAGGTGGCCGTAACATGCCTGGACGAGGAGGAGGGATACCTGTAAGAAGAAAAGAAAGTATGAGCTGACTCCACACCTGGATGTCTTAAAAATGTTTGACTAAAAAGAATTCCACAGGCT